AATATCTAGTACAACAACAAAATCATAAACATAAATTATCTAGCATATGAAGTTTCAACTATTCAATGTTATTTTAATTGGATAAATATTTGCCTTATCCGACACATATTGGTGCTGCGTCGGACGTATATCCGTGTTCGACACATATTCGATGTATCGGTGAAACATAGTAAGTACATGAATGATATATATCATACCAAAAAGAAAAAAAATAAAAGGTAAGTGCTTCTTAATTAGTAAAGAAAAAAACAAGAATATAGATTTAAAAGGAAGCAAGAATGTGACCTCTCTTAACTCTCTTCTATTTTTTCAAAACTTTCCACAATTACACATAAAATTTATTGTATGAATCAACTCTCAAATATTTATTGTATGGATGAACTCTCAAATATTTATTTAAAAATTTAAACCAAACATTAATATGCTACATGATAAAAAACTCACAATGAATAAAGGCATGACCAATTAATTACGAATTATTACTCATATTTAGATTTCATTTGAGAAATTTTTTTTTACTGTTTTTTAAAGAGAAATTTAAAAAATTTTAACTAAAATATTGATTTAAGAAGTAATAAAAAAATCTTAATATGCTAAACCTTAAAAATATAATAAAAATTTAGAACAACTCTATATGTGATGATTCTATTATGAACCAAGGGTACCGTTCGGAATAATTGCTTCACAGATCCCATCAACATTGAATAGAGGATGAGGCTCCAGTTCATTTCTTCATTGTCCCATGCCATGCTCCACATGCACAGTTTGATTGCTTAGGCAAAGGTCAAACGGTCATGGATTCTTGTAATTAACTGCCCCATCATAAGGGCATTTTGAAATTTTGATGGATTTCTTAAGACAAATGGGATCAGTTAAAGCTCTTATAGTCTGAAGGTTCCTTTTGAAGTCTTCCCTTCCCTCTTCAACAGTCTCATAGCTAGCGTGTTACTTTCATTTCGCATTTTTTTTCTTCCTTTGAAAGAGAAGAAATATGCAGCAACCAGAAAAGACAGAGTTTTGGCAGGGAAAGATCATCTCTTCCTCCTCTTAGAAGTTTCCAGCGGCAAAAAAACTTCAGCTTTGGCTCCAAATTTATGCGCGCAATTAGGGATTTTTCAGAGGATAGTTTGAGGGAAGAGTAGGAATCATGAGCTTGAAGAGTAGAGGAATAGGAGGAGGAGGGGCTTCACCGAGGAGTATGGTTTCCAAAAAATGGACCTTTCTTCTTTGCCTTGGAAGCCTCTGCGCTGTGCTGCTCTTCACAAATAGGTATCTTTTTACCCCTTTTTGCGGGCGCTGCTTGTTTGGTTACTGGTTTGCATAAATCTGGATTTTTTTTGCTTCCTTTGGTGCTTTAGGGAATTTTTAGAGTCCTTGCGAATGTAAATATATAAGACAGCTATTTCTTTTATATCAAACTTTGAAATGCATTTGATTTAGTTTTACAGCTGATTCTATTTCTCGGCCGGAATTAAGAATTTTCACTGTAAATTTTTGCTCTCAATGCGCTGTTTTTGAATGTGAAAGGTCTATTAGGTTTTTACATTGTACAAGCTCTTTGTTGATGGATTTTTTCTTGAATGAAGTGGCACGAAATTTTCTAGTAATCTGTTGAAGAAGATATTAACTGTAGCTCCATAAGTCAATCTTGAGGATTTGTTTTGATGTTTGAGGGATATCAAGTGGTAAAGAAGCCAAATCCATGAAAATTACACTCTTAAAATCATCATCAATCCTCAATCTGTGTTCTTCTTGGTCATTCGTTCTCCTCAGTTTTCTTTATCCTATCAAATCTTTAGTGTTATGCTCTTGCATGTTTATTAGGCTTGCTCCAATGTCATCTATGAACTTCGCTGATTCTGGGAAGATTTGATTGATATGTTGGTTCCCAAGCAAGGCTTTAACCCACACTTTTTCCATGTGATTTGCAGATTTTTAATATTTAACAGATCTGTATTTGGTTAAACATGGCGATCTAGTTGAGCTGTGTTAATGGTTAGTTGAAAAAAAAAAGAGAGAAATCTATTCAGCTTTACAGCTATCGTACATGTTTTATGAATTTCTGCTCTTGAACAGCCTTAGGAAGCAGCTTGTGTGACATCTGTTTATTTTGTATGCGTAAATGATTGAAATAATCTATGTTTGTGTTGTTTTGATTGATATTATCCTTTTCTTGGCTATATCCTGCTGTATTGATACTGCTTCTGAAACTTCTTACAGAATGTGGACAATGCCTGAACCAAAAGACATCATCAGGCGAACTGGAACAGAAGAGATTAAGATGAATCTAGTTTCCAACGATTGTAATATTAAGTCTGTAAGTATGTTGATCCATGCAATTGTTAATCAGTTTAAGGTTTTGTTAGCATTAAGAGACTCTGTTATCATTGCTTTGTTCTAATCACCAGAAACTTTGTGATCTTCTTATTGTTATCAATATCTTCTTCTATAAGCATATTTAGAATAGACGATCAAACTTTTTTTTTTTTCCTGTTTATAAGGGCAACTTAATTTATCCTTTTAATGTGGGGTGAGTTACGATGGTTGCGTGAGAGTAAAACAGGAGAGAAGGGGGCAAGGCGGCATATCTTTGATCCGGCCAAGAGAGATAAATTATGTAAAGACCCCACCCACGTCCGTAGTATCTTTGATCTGGGATGAACAAAGGCAAGTGCCTACCTAACACCCTCTACATGGGAGGCGGGATGCTGCCAAAATTTTAATGACAAAAGTCCCCCTCATTAGTAGTAGTAGTACTTGATGTTGAACATGTGTGCCTCATAAAATCTCAAGAAATAATTGTTAACCTAACTTTGGAAAAAAATCTGGATATTGCGAAAGTGAAACATAAGGTTGAAGACAAATGACGCGAGCCAAAACTTGGCTCATGTATTTTGAACCTAACGTAAAACTCTAAACTAGAAACCAGACATGATTTCTCTCCAATAACAAATTCCACAAGCACCAGTCAAATCCCTAATCTACAACCTTACACAAATTAAAGAAAGCCTCAACTAGATTTTTACCGCTCCATGTTGCATATAAGATATTCTAAACAAGAAGAGATTTCAAACCATGCTACTTGAGGGCAATCGTCTAGTGAAAGCATGACTGACAACTTGGAATAGGATTTTGAAATGGGCGGGCAATCACTCGGAAAGTATCAAATTTTTAAAAAGAAAATAACATACTTTTGCAGAATTGACAACTTTGAGAAAGACCTATCACCTTTCACACTTAAAGCATTTTGTACAAGAGCACCTTCGAATACCATGCTTATCTATTATCTACCCTTCTATATCACATGAGTTTTTTACTAATCACACTCTGAGCTACTTCTGCATGTGCTCTGATCTTTACATCAAACTCTTAAATATGAGATCATAGAATGATTCGTGGATTCGCTAAAAGTGCTTAAACACCCCTATGATAGCTGTGTTGACAAGAGAGATTTTAATCAGAGAGAGCTATTTAATTTTCAAAATTGCTCTCAAAATTCTAAAGTCATTCATTCAAATCCTACTAGGAGTTAAAATGCTTAAAATGAATTCCATCATAAAAAAAATAAAACTAAAATCAATCCACACTCCGCAACTGTTTGGCAAGAATGATGAAATTAAGAATAACTTCTGCTCATAAAGAGAAAATGTCTTATCGAATGCATTACTACAATTCATTCTCAATTAATTTCTTGTCAACAGGGACATGACACGTTCCCCCTTTGACTAGGTGATTTTGCCGCAAAATTGCACCACTATATTAAGGTTACGACGAAAACTCATATGTTCCCTAATGTTTAAAAGCTCATTGAGCAATGAATTATATGGTGCACTCTATAAGATACAAAACTCTTTGTTAGCTAAGGTTGATTTAAATTCCCCACCGTAGACAAGCATACACTCCAGGTTTACAAGATATTTTTGGATGAAGATACACCCAAGCTATTGATAAGATTCTTTTTATTAGGTTGAGTTGATTACCTCCTCTGACTAAGTTGATTAGGGATCATGACAGCTTAGGACAACGAAACTATGGGATCTTGATCGGGCCTATCATCATTCTCTCATCACCCGCTTTAATTATATAGTGATAGATTTCAAGTCATAAACTTCAATATTCAAAACCAAATTCAAACTTTAAAATTGCTATTATTATACACTTGGTAATTATTGCGGCCTATTTAAACGACTAGCCTTAATCAAAAGTTCTCTTTCTTTTTTGAGAGAGGTAATTAATTGTAGGGGCATGTGTCTATGAGAAACCAGAAATCATATCATAAAATGAGGGCAAAATTTCTGGGTAGTGTCTTGTCTTAAACCTAAATTTTCTTATGAAAGTTTACCCCGGAACCTAAATCCGTTAAAGATCTCCCCATTAATAAATAAGTGTAGAGAGGCCAGGTGCGAATTTTCGGAGCCCACATACCCCCGCGAATGTTCTGGTCTGTAATAGTTGAGATAAGGCTTATGATAATGATGATACTTACAATCTATTGACATGTGTTTTGCTTTATTTCTCAGATGCTAAAATTCGAATTCCTTTTTCTTATCAGATTAAGAAACAAGAGTCCAATGACATGATAGGTGAAGTTTCAAAAACCCACCATGCCATACAGTATGATCAGCTTCTTACATATGTTCAGACTCATTGAGATTACCTTGAATTTTATCATTCAAGAAGTTACTGCTCCCAAGATAATTATTTACAAATTTTTTCACTATATGCAACTTGATTGCAAGCAGAACTCTGGATAAAACAATTTCAAATTTAGAAATGGAATTAGCTGCTGCAAAAGCTGCACATGAATCAATTCTTAATGGTTCTCCAGCCTCAGAAGCTGCAAAACCTACTGAATCTTTGAAGAAAAGAAAATACTTGATGGTTGTTGGAATAAATACAGCATTTAGCAGTCGTAAGCGAAGAGATTCAGTTCGCGCTACATGGATGCCACAAGGTATATCCCTTAGGTTCTGTGAAGATTTCCACTTCCCATTTCACTCAAAAAAAGGTTTATTCTATCATTCTCAAACTCTTTTATCTTAAATTTGATTATTAATTTGTTTTGCCTTTTTTTTTAACAAAATAGGTGAAAAAAGAAAGAAGCTAGAGGAAGAAAAAGGCATTGTCATTCGATTTGTTATTGGTCACAGGTGTGCATCAGCTGGCTTAAGTTTTCCTTTATTTTATATGTCAATGAATATCATTTCCTCCAATCTACAGCTTCATGGAGAGAAATATTGTTTACTAATGAGTTTAAGAAATCATAGATGTGATAGTAGGTTTGTCTATTGAGCTTTTTCTTATTCATGGTTATTAATTGCTTGTTTTAAGTTTTTTTTTTTTTTTTCTGAAATACAATAGTGCCACCTCGGGTGGAATTCTTGATAAAGCTATTGAAGCAGAGGATATGAAGCATGGGGATTTCATGAGGCTGGTAAATTCCATTCTTTTTGCTTTTCATATCATAATTACTAAGAAGGAATCTTGTATATGACATTAAAATAGGCATAATGTGTTTGATTTTTTATGTTTATAAATTTCTATAATGCTTGGACAGTAGGTGGCAATTGGTTCTTTAGGATCATGTTGAAGGGTACCTTAAATTATCAGCCAAGACTAAAGCATACTTTGTTACCGCCGTCTCTATGTGGGATGCTGAATTTTATGTAAAGGTTGATGATGACATACATGTAAATATAGGTAAGCCTAGTTCATGTTGTGCACCTAATATAATTAGTATTGTTCATACAGCAACATCTATTGAGGATCTACAAGCTATTATAATCCTATATTGGATATTCGAAAAACATATGGGTATTGAAATATTAAAGTGGTTGGATGATAGGAAGGAGATGCACTTTTCATAGAAATCAACAGATAAAACATGAAAAATTGGGAAGAATAATGCCCCAAAATAATTTTTATTGAAAGAACTTAAAAAAAATACAAGATACAATTGGATCTTCAATTGGAGAGGAAGATCCGGCTCTCCCAAATCCCTAATCGCCAGCTAGAGCACAAATAATACAAGAATAAACTAAATTTAGCAAATTCCAAAACATAATCTTGAAATCACCCTATTATTAGCCTTAAATAGGCTTTCATAATTCCCTCCTAGCGGTGTCAATATTTGATATGACCCCAAAACCCGACTCGAACCCGACTCAAAAATTTTGGGTTAGGGTCAACATAACCCGAAACGGGTCGGGTTCGGGTTCAACATTTCGACCGGTTTCAAAAATCGGGTCGGGTTCGGGTTAACCCTTTGACCCAAAATTGACCCGAAAACCCGATTTTGATCCGGAAACTTGAGATTGACCCGATTTTTGACCCGAAAAAGAGGAGATAGACCCATTTTTGACCCGAAAAAGAGGAGATAGATCCGTTTTTGACTCGAAAACTAGCTATTTTTTGTTGGAAACGGGTCATTCGGGTTGTGTCGGGTTGACTCGGACCCGAAGCGGGTCGGGTTCGGGTCAGGAAAAGTGACCCGTTTTCAAAAACGAGTCAGGTTTGGGTTGACCCGAATAGTGCCGGGTTAGTTTCGGGTTTGACCCGAACCCGAAATTGACACCCCTATTCCCTCCCGAAACTGAGAGGGAATAATTCCCCCTCAGTTTTGAATTCAAATTACATTTATTTCTCTAATTAATTCTCTCCAATTGTAATTAAAAATTTCCTAATTAATTTTTTTTTTTTTTTTTCAACTAACCATTAACACAGCTCAACTAGATCGCCATGTTTAACCAAATACAGATCTGTTAAATATTAAAAATCTGCAAATCACATGGAAAAAGGTGCGGGTTAAAGCCTTGCCTGGGAACCAACATATCAATCAAATCTTCCCAGAATCAGTGAAGTTCATAGATGACATTGGAGCAAGCCTAATATACATGCAAGAGCATAAAACTAAAGAATTGATAGGATAAAGAAAACTGAGGAGAACGAACGACCAGGAAGAACACAGGTTGAGGATTGATGATGATTTTAAGACTGTAATTTTCATGTATTTGGCTTCTTTACCACTTAATACCCCTCAAACATCAAAACAAATCCTCAAGATTGGCTTATGGAGCTACAGTTAATATCTTCTTTAAGAGATTCCTAGAAAAATCCCTACGACTTCATTCAAGAAAAAATCCATCAACAAAGAGTTAGTATTTTCAAAGACAGCGCATTGAGAGCAAACATTTACAGTGAAAATTCTTAATTCCGGCCGAGAAATAGAATCAGCTGTAAAACTAAATCAAATGCATTTCAATCTCATATATCTTTATGGCTCAAGAGGACACAGCCTTCGGTGCCCATGCACATGGCTGGTCTGGCCATATGGTGCTTTGGGGAGTAGTTGCCAAGCAAAGCATCTATTTATTCCAAGATATAAATAGATAACAAAATGAAAAAATAAATAAATTAAATTATTTTTTTTAAAAAAATATATTTTAAGTCCTTATTATATTTCATCCTCTCATTTTGCTAAAATTTCATGACCTTATAAACTAATTAATTTAAAAAAAATCTTATTTTATGTAAAATTATGATAATTTATTTTAAAAGTAAAAGAGAGAGCGAGAAGAGCATAGTAGAAGAAAGAGATAATTTTACAATACGAGGAACCATCCGTTGTAGAATTACAGAATAGCAGCAGATAAAACTATTGATTTTAACCGCTGCAAAAGATAAATATTTAGTAGCGGTTCCCAAATTGTTGAGAGACTCCTTAATAGGGTTAATTATTTTGTGCAAACGTCGAACGTCGTTCGGAGGCCAATCAAAATGCTCCATGTCACTCCTATGCTCAATATTGTGGCTCACTATTGCTCAGTACCGCGGCTCGGTACCACTTACGTGACTCGTTCTGATTAGTCTCCGGACGACATTCTGTGTCTGCCCGTCCGCATAAAATAATTTCTCTCTTTCTAGCCAATGTTAAATACAACGAGTTTATTGCAATTCTTAAACCGCTACAATTGATTTTTAGTAGCTGAAAAAATGCGTTGCTAAAGTAAAATTCATTTTTCTTTTGAAATAGCTTTCTTATTGCTTTCTAAAACAATTTTTTTAGAACAAAAATTTTTAGTTTAAGAAGCAGTAAGAAAGCACCCCCAATTCCCAAACGAAGCATCAGTCTTTGTTTTGAATAATTTTCTTATTGCTTTCTAAAACAGCTTTCAAATATAAATTTATTTTAAAAGTAGTAAAACATCAATGGTCAAAAACTATCTCAAAAAAAGCCTTCCTTGTATTAAGTTCATAAAGAGCTGTTGAAAGGGGATTTGTTACTTTGTTTTTCTCGGAATCATTAATGGGTTCTAAGTATAGAGATCATTTAATATCTATTTTTGATGGACGGTGGAAATTTTCCAAAGCCATTTCTATATACTAACTGTTCATCTTTATTTTGCTGCTGAGTAATTAGAACTGAGAAGGACTTCACGTGAAGAAGAAGAAGAAGAAGAAGAAGACAGGCAAAAGCACTTGGCAGGAATTCTGAATGTTCCATTGCTCTTTTACTTCCAAGGTGCAGATTCGCGTTGCAGTTATCATTATACAGTAATTTAATTTGTTTTATATGAACTTATTTTTTAATCACTTTTTTTATTAACTTATATGTTTAGAGGGATTTAATTTCAGAATATTTATTAATTTTGATGAATATATTGGATTAAATAATTAAAATTTTATAATTGGACCTCAACATTTAATACAATAAAATTTGGAGGTCATGAGTCCCAATCATCTCCAATCACTTCAATTGAATACAATACAAATTAGTTAATCATTTCTATTTTATGTAAGAATTAAATATCTAGTATAACAACATAAATATAAACATAATTGTCTAGCACATGAAGTTTCAGCTATTCAATAGAATGAATGATAGTTTTAGCTTATTCTGCAGTTTGTCTTTGAACTTCTACTGAACATAAGCCCTCGATGCACGCTCGTGATATTAGAAACGAAGAATCCCTAACGCCACGTCTTGTGGGTTCGGAAATGAGAGAACCTCGCTCGTAGCCGCCGAAGTAAATACAAAATAAGCTTCATTTTTTTAGAATTTTTTTTTAATTTTTCAATGGGACACGCATAACCGATACGCATGTCCTTTCAAAATTAAATATTATTTTAATTGGATAAATATTTGCCTTATCCGACACATATTGGTGCTGCGTCGGACGTATATCCGTGTCCGACACATATTCGATGTATCGGTGCAACATAGTAAGTACATGAATGATATATATCATACCAAAAAGAAAAAAAAAAATAAAAGGTAAGTGCTTCTTAATTAGTAAAGAAAAAAACAAGAATATAGATATAAAAGGAAGCAAGAATGTGACCTCTCTTAACTCTCTTCTATTTTTTCAAAACTTTCCACAATTACACATAAAATTTATTGTATGGATCAACTCTCAAATATTTATTGTATGGATGAACTCTCAAATATTTATTTAAAAATTTAAACCAAACATTAATATGCTACATGATAAAAAAACTCACGATGAATAGAGGCATGACCAATTGATTAAGAATTATTACTCATATTTAAATTTCATTTGAGAATTTTTTTTTACTATTTTTTAAAGAGAAATTTAAAAAATTTTAACTAAAATATTGATTTAAGAAGTAATAAAAAAATCTTAATATGCTTGTTGCGGACTAGAAAATACGCGGCGATAGAGATTTAATTCTGCGTCTTAACGTTGTACGTATAACTAGCTCACACACAGAGAACACAAGATTTTTTACGTGGAAAACCCTTAAAAAGGGAAAAAACCACGAGGCCTCGCCCAGTTGAAAATGATTCCACTAGACTTTGAGTTGGTTACAAAGGACTGAATCACCTCCAAGGGTGATCAGGTTACAATCAGTTACTTAAGTAAGACGTCAGGTCTTTGGGAGGACGTAGGGACTGAATGTCGGGTCCTGAGTAAGACGTCGGGTCTTCGGCAGGACGTAGGGACTGAGTGTCGGGCCTTGAACAGGACGTAGGGACCGAGTGTCGGGCCTTGAACAGGACGTCGAGTCTTCGGCAGGACGTCGGGTCTTCAGTAGGACGTAGGGACTGGACGTCAGGCCTTAAGGTGGTGGTCTGGCGAGGTTCTGCGGTGGTCCGAAAATTGGAGACCGTTTGGTAACTCAAATTGCGGTTTGAACCTTCCGACAGCGCTTTGAACTCTTGATTCGGACTTATTTGGGCTCGGATTGGGTCGATCTTGGTGTTGTTGGGTTCGTATTTCCGAGACGCTCAGTTTGACTGTAAGCTCGTTGAAATCGGAGTTCGGATGCTCTCGGATTTAATTTTTGAAGTCTCCAACTAGTTTTTGCCTCGAGATTCGTGCCTGATCAAGCTAATTTTATGATGACTTATCAATGCTAAACCTTAAAAATATAATAAAAATTTAGAACAACTCTATATGTGATGATTCTATTATGAACCAAGGGTACAGTTCGGAATAATTGCTTCACAGATCCCATCAACATTGAATAGAGGATGAGGCTCCAGTTCATTTCTGCATTGTCCCATGCCACATGCACAGTTTGATTGCTTAGGCAAAGGTCAAACGGTCATGGATTCTTGTAATTAACTGCCCCATCATAAGGGCATTTTGAAAATTTGATGGATTTCTTAAGACAAATGGTATCAGTTAAAGCTCTTATAGTCTGAAGGTTCCTTTTGAAGTCTTCCCTTCCCTCTTCAACAGTCTCATAGCTGGCGTGTTACTTTCATTTCGCATTTTTTTCTTCCTTTCAAAGAGAAGAAATATGCAGCAACCAGAAAAGACAGAGTTTTGGCAGGGAAAGATCGTCTCTTCCTCCTCTTAGAAGTTTCCAGCGGCAAAAAACTTTAGCTTTGGTTCCAAATTTATGCGCGCAATTAGGGATTTTTCTGAGGATAGTTTGAGAGAAGAGTAAGAATCATGAGCTTGAAGAGTAGAGGAATAGGAGGAGAGGCTTCACCGAGGAGTATGGTTTCCAAAAAATGGACCTTTCTTCTTTGCCTTGGAAGCTTCTGCGCTGGGCTGCTCTTCACAAATAGGTATCTTTTTACCCCTATTTGCGGGCGCTGCTTGGTTGATTACTGGTTTGCATAAATTTGGGATGAAGTTTTGAATCTGGATTTTTTTTTTTGCTTGCTTTGGTGCTTTAGGGAATTTTTAGAGTCCTTGCGAATGTAAAGATATAAGACAGCTATTTCTTTTATATCAAACTTTGAAATGCATTTGATTTATTTTTACAGCTGATTCTATTTCTCGGCCGGAATTAAGAATTTTCACTGTAACTTTTTGCTCTCAATGCGCTGTTTTTGAAAATACTAACTCTTTGTTGATGGATTTTTTCTTGAATGAAGTCGCAGGGATTTTTCTAGGAATCTGTTGAAGAAGATATTAACTGTAGCTCCATAAGCCAATCTTGAGGATTTGTTTTGATGTTTGAGGGATTTAAAGTGGTAAAGAAGCAAAATACATGATAATTACACTCTTAAATCATCATCAATCCTCAATCTGTGTTCTTCTTCTTGGTCGTTCGTTCTCCTCAGTTTTCTTTATCCTATCAAATCCTTAGTTTTATGCTCTTGCATGTTTGTAAGGCTTGCTCCAATGTCATCTATGAACTTCGCTGATTCTGGGAAGATTTGATTGATTTGTTGGTTCCCAGGCAAGGCTTTAACCCGTACCTTTTTCTATGTGGTTTGCAGATTTTTAATATTTAACAGATCTGTAGTTGGTTAAACATGGCGATCTAGTTGAGCTGTGTTTATGGTTAGTTGAAAAAAAAAGAGAAATCTATTCAGCTTTACAGGTATCTTACAATTTTGATGAATTTCTGCTCTTGAGCAGTTTTAGGAAGCAGCTTGTATGACATCTGTTTATTTTGTACGCGTAAATGAAAATGATTGAAATAATCTATGTTTGTGTTGTTTTGATTGATGTTATGCTTTTCTTGGCTATATCCTGCTGTATTGATACTGTTGCTGAATCTTCTTACAGAATGTGGACAATGCCTGAACCAAAAGACATCATCAGGCGAACTGGAACAGAAGAGATTAAGATGAATCTAGTTTCCAGCGATTGTAATATTAAGTCTGTAAGTATGGTGATCGATGCAATTGTTAATCAGTTTTAGGTTTTGTTAGCATTAAGAGACTGTTATCATTGCTTTGTTCAAATCACCAGAAACTTTGTGATCTTCTTATTGTTATCAATATCATCTTCTATAGGCATATTTAGAATAGATGATCAAACTTTTTTTTTCCTGTTTATAAGGGCGACTTAATTTCACCTTTTAATGTTGGGGTGAGTTATGATGAGAGTAAAACATGAGAGAAGGAGATAGGGGCAAGGCGGCGTATCTTTGATCCGGCCAGGAGAGATAAATTATGTAAAAACCCCACCCACGTCCGTAGTATCTTTGATCAGGCTGGGATGAACAAAGACAAGTGCCTACCTAACACCCTCTACACGGGAGGCAGGATGCTGCCGAAATTTTAATGACAAAAGTCCCCCTCATTATTAATTTCAAACAAATTTTTGTCATTTTAAATGATTTTTAAATTTTTTGTCATTTCAATTGATATAATAATAATAATAATAATAATAATAATAATAATAATAATAATAATAATAATAATAATAGTAGTAGTAGTAGCAGTAGCAGCAGTAGTAATAATAATAATAAATAAATAAGGCAAAAAAAAGCTATTCTTAATATTGAACATGCGTGCCTCATAAAATCTCAAGAAATAATTGTTAACCTAACTTTGGAAAAAGATCTGGATATTGTGAAAGTGAAACATAAGGCTGAAGAAAAATGACGCGAGCCAAAACTTGGCTCATGTATTTTGAACGTAACGTAAAACTCTAAACTAGAAACCAGACATGATTTCTCTCCAATAACAAATTCCACAAACACCAGTCAAATCCCTAACTCTACGACCTTTAAAGAAGCCTCAACTAGAATTTTACCGCTCCATGTTGCATATAAGAGATTCTAAACAAGAAGAGATTTCAAACCATGCTACTTGAGGGTAATCGTCTAGTGAAAGCATGACTGACAACTTGGAATAGGATTTTGAAATGGGCGGGCAATTACTCGGAAAGTATCAAAATTTTAAAAAGAAAATAACATACTTTTGCAGAATTGACAACTTTGAGAAAGACCTATCACCTTTCACACTTAATCATTTTGTACAAGAGCACCTTGGAATACCATGCTTAGCTATTATCTACCCTTCTATATCACATGAGTTTTGTACTAATCACACTCTGAACTACTTCCACATGTGCTTTGATCTTTACACCAAACTCTTAAATATGAGATCATAGAATGATTCGTGGATTCGCTAAAAGTGCTTAAACACCCCTATGATAGCTGTGTTGACAAGAGAGATTTTAATCAGAGAGAGCTATTTAATTTTCAAAATTGCTCTCAAAATTCTAAAGTCATTCATTCAAAACCTAAATTCAAATCCTACTAGGAGTTAAAATGCTTAAAATGAATTCCATCATCAAAAAAATAAAACTAAAATCAATCCACACTCCGCAACTGTTTGGCAAGAATGATGAATTTATGTATAACTTCTGCTCATAAAGAGCAAATGTCTTATCGAATGCACTACTACAATTCATTCTCATAAACATCTACCCCAAGTTTACAAGATATTTTTGGATGAAGCAAACCAAGCCTGCTGATATGGTTCCTTCTATTAGTTTGAGTCGATTACCTCCTATGACTAAGTTGACTACGGATTATGACAGTCCAAGACAACAAAACTATGGGATCTTGATCGGGCCTGTCATCATTCCCTCATCACCTGCTTTAAGTATATAGTGATAGATTTCAGTCATAAACTCCAAAATTCAAACTTTAAAATTGCCGTTATTATATGCTAGGTAATAAGACTAGTCTTAATCAAAAGTTCTCTCTCATTATCGAGGGGTAATTATCGTAGGGGCTTGTTTCTATGTGAAACTAGAACTCAGATCATAAAATTCTCATAAAAGGAGGGCGAAATTTATGGGTAGTGTCTTGTCTAAAACATAATTTGTTTTCTAAAAGTTTATTATGGAACCTAAATCTATTAAAGCTCTCCTCGTTACTAAAGAAGCGCAGAGAGGCCAAGTGCGATTTTTTGTAGCCCACATGCCACCGCGAATATTCCGGTCCGTAACAGTTGAGATAATTCTTATGATAATGATGATACTTAAAATCTATTGACATGTGTTTTACTTTCTCAGATAATAAAATTCAAATTTCTTTTGTCTTATCAGATTAAGAAACAAGAGTCCAATGACATCATAGGTGAAGTTTCAAAAACCCACCATGCCATACAGTATGTTCAGCTTCTTACATATGTTCGAACTCATTGAGTTTACCTTGAATTTTATCAATCAAGAAGTTACAGCTCCCAAGGTAGTTATTTTAAATTTTTTTTACTATATGCGACTTTATTGCAAGCAGGACTCTGGATAAAACAATTTCAAATTTAGAAATGGAATTAGCTGCTGCAAAAGCTGCACAAGAATCAATTCTTCATGGTTCTCCAGCCTCAGAAACAGCAAAACCTACTGAATCTTTGAAGAAAAGAAAATATTTGATGGTTGTTGGAATAAATACAGCATTTAGCAGTCGTAAGCGAAGAGATTCAGTTCGCGCTACATGGATGCCACAAGGTATGTCCCTTAGGTTCTGTGAAGATTTCTATTTCCCATTTCACTCAAAAAAATGGTTTATTCTATCATTCTCAAACTCTTTTATCTTAAATTTGATTATGAATTTGTTTTGCCTTTTTTTGGAACAAAATAGGTGAAAAAAGAAAGAAGCTAGAGGAAGAAAAAGGCATTGTCATTCGATTTGTTATTGGTCACAGGTGTGCATCAGCTGGCTTAAGTTTTCCTTTATTTTATATGTCAATGAATATCATTTCCTCCAATCTACAGCTTCATGGCGAGAAATATTGTTTACTAATGAGTTTAAGAAATCATAGATGTGATAGTAGGTTTGTCTATTGAGCTTTTTCTTATTCATGGTTATTAATTGCTTGTTTTAAGTTTTTTATTTTTTTTTCTGAAATACAATAGTGCCACCTCGGGTGGAATTCTTGATAAAGCTATTGAAGCAGAGGATATGAAGCATGGGGATTTCATGAGGCTGGTAAATTCCATTCTTTTTGCTTTTCATATCATAATTACTAAGAAGGAATCTTGTATATGACATTAAAATAGGCATAATGTGTTTGATTTTTTATGTTTATAAATTTCTATAATGCTTGGACAGTAGGTGGCAATTGGTTGCATTTAAAGCTGTCAACGTGCTCTCATGTAACTTCTAATTTGAAGCACTTCAGTGCAAATACTCTTGTAATCTGGATTGCCAAGGTTGACTTCTCACTAATTAAATATAAAACTGGCAATTCAACAAAATTTCATGGAAATATATGCCTCAACTACTTTTCCAATGTACCTTTATGATTTAAATATCTTCAATTGTTATTGTAGTGTCAGCTAAATTTTAACAATTTCGATTGGTTGTTCTAATTTCGGCATTCTTTCTTCTAAAACTTGGTTGAAATCGCGGAAATTTGTATAATTGATATTTAAGTTTGTTTTGACTAGGCGTCGGCCAAAGCTGATCCCAAGCACCGAAACAAATCAGCTGTGGCCGAAACTATATTTCATGCTTTGAACTTAAATTGTGCAGGCTCATCTGCGAACTGAGCTGTTGCCAACTCCATTTGAACAATTGTACTTAATCTTGTTTTTCTTCTGTGGTCTTTAGGATCATGTTGAAGGGTACCTTGAATTATCAGCCAAGACTAAAGCATACTTTGTTACTGCCGTCTCTATGTGGGATGCTGAATTTTATGTAAAGGTTGATGATGACATACATGTAAATATAGGTAAGCCTAGCTCATGTTGTGCACCTAATATAATTAGTATTGTTCATAAAGAAACATCTATTGAGGATCTACAAGCTATTATAATCCTATATTGGATATTTGAAAAATATATGGGTATTGAAATATTAAAGTGGTTGGATGATAGGAAGGGGATGCACTTTTCATCAAAATCAACAGATAAAACATGAAAAATTGGGAAGAAGAATGCCCCTAAATAATTTTTATTGAAAGAACTTTAAAAAAAATACAAGATACAATTGGATATTCAATTGGAGAGAAAGATCCGGCTCTCCCAAATCCCTAATCTCCGGCTAAAGCCCAAATAATATAAGAATAAACTAAATTCAGCAAATTTCAAAACATAATCCTGAAATCACCCTATTGTTAGCCTTCAATATGCTCTCATAATTCCCTCCCAAATCAGCTTCCTTTTCCTAAATAATTCCCTCTCAATTTTGAATTCAAATTACATTTATTTCTCTAATTAATTCTCTCCAATTGTAATTAAAATTTTCCTAAACAACCCCCCCTTAATTTCACCTCATTTTCCCTAAATAATTCCCTCTTAGATTTGCAATTCAAATTAGATCTCTTGCCCTAAATAATTCACTTCCAATTCTAATTTAAACATTCCTAAACAATTACCCTATGATTAAGAATCTTCCTAAATAGCTATCCCTTGATTAGAAAACTTCTTAATTCCCTCTCAATAAAATTGGCCGGTCCATCAAGACTCTTCTTCCAAAGTGCCACCTTATTCTCAAGGTGGAACGAAGGAAAACTGTTGCTGAAGCACTTGACTAATGGCACTGGACTGAAAAATGGATTGACAATGGGTTGAATAATACCTACCTCCAGCATCTTCCTGATCAATCTCTCGATCTCATCATTTTTAATTTGGGGATAACAATACGGACAAACACTGATATGTGAGACTACTTCCTTCAAGATGATAGTATGCTCATGTTCATGCAGAGGAGGCAACCCTGAACTGGCTGGAACATCTCTTGATACTGTTGTAGGAGTGGTTGAACCATGTACGGTGCTCTATGATGCACGGATACGGACACGGCGACACGGACACGGACACGACACGACACGGACACGGACACGTGACACTGTTTTTTTTTTAAATATAGGACAGGGTACGGCGCAGACACAACAATATATTTTTTTATATAGTGTATATATATTAATGTAATATCATATTAAAAATGACAAACAATAATAAATGAATGACATGATAACTTTTATAGCTTATAATATAAATATTTAGTACACAATGTCTAGTACAACCACAAAAATATAAACAAATAATCACTTACTATAACATCAAACATTTAGGCCTCGTTTGATTAGGCTTTTTTTCTCCGTTTCCGTTTCCGTTTGAATACGCCGAAATCAATTAGTATTTACTGTTTGGAATCAAAGCTTAACAATAATTCCTTTTTAATAAACATGGTTTTTTCGGCGGTTACAAAATTCTTTTCGTATCTGCTTCTTCGGTCACAAAACGGAGTTTCGGTCACAAAATATCTTTTATAATAAAATCTCAAAAGCAGAACTCCTAAACAAACAATTTAAAATTACTTTCAAGTATTAATAAGCACTTTTAAAAATATTAGTCAAACATATCTCATTATTGAAACTCCATTTTATTGAATGACTTTTTCTCAACCTCCTTTTCTAAAACTCCTTTTTATGTAAGCATAAACCGAATCAAACGAAGCCTTAAGCTTCAACTACTAGGATTAGCTTTAGAGGTTTGTTTTTGGCATTTAATATCATCATCATTGAATATCACTGCTTTCAACTCTGATTCAACAAGAAAAAGATTTATAATTGTGCAAAAAGAGAGGAGATGAAAATACCTTCACTGTCAAAGAGAAATAAAAATGAGAATATTCGATGAAGGGTATTAAATGCAGACGTTGATTTGGTGTTGTGGATAGAAAATAAGAAATTTAGTTTAAATCTCGCCAAAATAAGAAATTATATTTTTAAAAAATTATAAAATATTTAAGATACGTGTGTCGGACACGTGTGTCCAATTTGTTTTTAATATTTTTTTAATCGGATATGTTTTCGGCGTGTCCGACATGTTTCGGAGGAGTGTCGGACGAGTGTCGTGTCGGACACGGTGCCGGACACTGCACGCCTCTTTGAGGAGAAGTGTAAAGAGGCGTGCAGTGTCGGTGCATCATAGACGGTGCTTCTATCTTCTCCCCTTCTTCTATTTTCAAATTCTACAGCTCCACGAAAAATCTCATTCATTCACCATTTTCCCTCTTTGAAAGTGGCTCCAAAATCACCTCCATATCATCTGTTAATGTAATTGGTGATGTTGAGCTGGCAGGAACCAGATTCTTCATAGGTGAGGTCATTGAATTCTTGCTCAATTGAGATTGAGAAATTACATAGGATTTGGAATCTTGCTCGGTATAAGCAGAATTTATTAAACAAAAATTTGCATCTGATTTAACTACTCTAACAAATTTGTTCATGCTTTGTTGACAGTTCTGCTTGATAGAAATTGAATGCCATTGATGTTGATAATGCCTTTTGACGTGAAGATCCAATAACTTCTTTATCATTCCTTCTTGATTGGACAAATTTTTTCTCCATTTATTTTCCTAACTAATTCCCTTCCAATTGTTATTAAAACTTTCCTAAACAATCCCCCTTAATTCCTCATCCTTTTCTCTAAATAATTTCCTCTTAAATTTTGAATTTAAATTAGTTCTTTTGCCCTAAATAATTCCCTCCCAATTGTAATTTAAACATTCTTAAATAATCCCCTTTGATTAAGAACCTTCCTGAATAACTCCCTCTTAATTAGGAAACTTCCTAATTCCCTCTCAATCAAATCAGTCGGTCCATCATTGGACTTCACTCGTAGGTTTAAATTTTTAGGTTGAAAATGGGTTTGACCACTAGTTTATCTAGCCCAACTCTAATTCTCTTTTACTTCACACTCCAATTGAGTGGTATCAAAGTTGATGCTTTAGTTGGGACCTAGGGGTTCATGTAGTTTGTGACTTCCATGAGTTTTTTACTGACTTCTAAGATGGTTGAGCAAAATTTAAGAATGGGTGACTCCCTAACTCCATGTAGTTAGTTGGCTCTTGATGCATGATATAGACCTGTCAATATTGGACCCGACCCGAAAACCCGACCTGAACTCGACCCGAAAATTTCGGGTTTGGGTTGACCCGAACTCGAAGCGGGTCGGGTTCGGATCCTGAAAATTGACCCGTTTGAAAAATTGGGTTGGGTTCGGGTTGACCCGAGAATAATCCGAAATGACTCGGAATGCACACAAACCCCTGCCCGGAATGACCCTGCCTGCTTCCCGGCTGCCCCGCCTGCCTGGACGCGTCACATCACGTTGCGTTCTGAGGCCAGGTCGCATCGCATCTCGAGGTAGTCGCGTCCTGTGTTAGTCGCCGCCTCGCCGGCTTCCGCAGCAGTTCTACACCGCGTCCTGCGTCCGGTGTCCGTGTCCGACAATTCCGCGCCGCGTCCGCGTCTGTGTCCGGCAGTTCTGCGACCTTGAAGACTGCTGACTCCACCCAATCTAGTTGCTATTTGTTCGAACTTGATGGCAAGGTTGTTGTGAAAGCATGGGTAATGCTCTGAATAAATAATGTAGTGGGTATTTAGTGGGTTTTAGATAGTTAGAGTTATGAGTCATTATTAAGTGTGTTAATTGATCTTACGAGTCTATAAATACACTCCCTCTTTGAGAGATTAGGGCATCAAGCAAAGATTTTGAAACAAAGATGCTTAAGCTCTCTTCCTCCACTCCAAATATCTGAAGTTGTGGTATCTTACAATTGTCCAATTCCCTTCTTCCCTGGTTCCTTTTTAACTGGAGCTTTAGACAAGCTAAAATTTGCCAAGTTTTATTTTTTTTTTAAATTTTTCAACAAGATGCACCTTTGTCTCCTCTTTGGGCTTTTCCATTGTATGCTCATGTTAGTCTTCTATCATCACTTTATTGCAGCAACTTTGGGAAATACTTTAGCAAGGCTTCGCTCGAAGCCGAGGGTGTATATTGGTTGCATGAAGTCGGGTCCAGTCCTGGCGCAGAAGTAAGTATAATTAAATGATACATATGTTGATATGACAATCAATACTGAGTTCATTTTGATCTTTCATCTGCTAGGGGAGTGAGGTATCATGAACCTGAGCATTGGAAATTCGGGGAAGCAGGTAACAAGTATTTCCGTCATGCCACTGGTCAACTATATGCTATTTCAAAGGATTTGGCAAACTACATATCCATAAACCAGTAAGCCACTTTTTTAGCTTACTTCTGGTTGATTTTTACTAATTTAAGTTCATCTATTTATTTGTCATACTGGATCAAGTCATCCAAGAAACTAGTTTTTTTTTTGTTGTTATTTTTATTTTTTGAATTTGTTTGTTTATCTTCTCATACTAATCTGGAATTCATGGAATTTTGATTCTTATTATTTTAGACATGTTCTACACAAGTATGCAAATGAGGACGTTTCATTAGGTTCTTGGTTTATTGGCTTAGATGTGCAACATATTGATGATCGTAGGCTATGCTGTGGCACCTATCCTGGTTAGTTCAACTTATAGCTTTTGGAAACTTTAGTTTTGGTAAATATTTAGTTTATTGTGGTTGCTTTTAGTTATTATTGCTTTTGATTCAATGAAACTGGAACTGACAGGATAGTTCAATTCATATTAGAAGACATATTCATGTCTTAACATATTTTTCATTGCCAAGATGTTTACCTAATTTTTCACTTTTTTCTCTCATTTCATTCTATTTCTCTCTTCTTTGGCTGAAGTAGTTCTTGTGTTGCACTCAGAATGCAATCCACAACTTTATTGAGGCCATATGCCTTAATGTTTATCATAATTTTGTTAGATGATGATAAAATTCTATGGTAAATTTTGTGAAATTGTTGGCCTTTTTTTGCTGTTACAAGGTGTTTGTATCTTACTGCATTGTACCAGAATTTGTATTTTTTTTTTCATCTGTGGGCTTCAAAAATTTGTGCCCCGACCTCCCCTCTTTCGGGGGAGTTTTAACGAATTAGGTTACATGATAAATTTTCAGAAGGCATATTGGATTTAAAATAATACACTACCTAGAGATTTCGCCCTCATTTTGCGAGGACTTTAAATTTGAGTTCTGATTTTCTATAGGCGCAAGCCCCTATAGTTAATTACCCCTCCCGATAATGAGAGAGAACTTTCTATTAAGGCTAGTCATCAAAACATATACGTAGAGAATACATGTATTTGGTGTATAGTAGCAGCATGAGTTTAGGTATTTGGGAGAAATAATATTTAAAATTAGAAATTTCACTATATTGCACTTAAAGCGGATGGGTAGGGGGGGAGTGATGATGAGCTTGATTAAGATCTCATTGTTTCGTCGTCTTAGGTCATCGTGATCCCTAGTCTACTTTGTCAGAGGAGGTAGTCTACCCAACCCGACATAATGATTCTTGTCGGTAGCCATGAGTTGCTTCATTCAAGGGTAACTTGTAGACCTAAGGTGGATATTTGTCTAATGGGACAAATTTGAATCCACCTTTCCTGACTGAGGGTTTTGTGCCCTATTGAATATATCTTATTGATTCATATCTCAATGATTTAATGTCATTGGGGAGCATACGGGCTTTGACCACAACCATAATATAATGGTGCTATTTGACAGCAAAACCATCCGGTCAGAGGGTCCCGATTATAACTGTTTACATGTGATGTCATTTAGCTATGAAATCGTAGGCGTGGTACAATTTAGCGGCGAAACCACTGGTTAGATGACATTTGTCACGCCCTTACTAGCAAGAGAGATTGAGAATTGATCCTAGAGATTGAGACAAAAGATTGGGTTCAAATCTAAACTTATTTCTTGACCCGTGCGGCATCTTAAGGCGTTATGTATATACTTACAACACGCTCGTCGGGGTCCATGCAAGTATATGCAATGCATTCAGGGGTATTTTTGAATGTGATTATAATGCCAAATGACATTCTTTAATGAAACCTCATGCATCCTACCAATACATACTAGAGGTCATTTGTGGAATGCAACATCAATGTCGAGGTGACATGCCAGAATGAAATTCTCGGCATCCTACAGATGCACGCAGAAGGTTATTTTGAAAAACAATAGTAATGTCTGATGACATGTTTGTGTTATGTAAGTTACGACACGTGCATATACAACATAGTAGCATGTAAATGCAATTCATTCATTACAATTAAATGCATCTCGAGATGTCGGATAATATGTTTAAATAAATTATCATGCATGTTGCATTGCGTGTATGAGAGACATTTTAAAATATATGGTACTAATTAATTATGCAGGCAACTATCATTCGAATGTGCGCAGCGCTCCACTTAGAAGCTAGTAGATTTGTCTGCTTGTACGGGTGTCGCAGATCCCGTGGCGCGTTGTTGCGCTTCAATGGCCCGTGATTTTTACTATTGATTCCCTGTTTTTGCTTACATGATTATCGTATCATTGTCACCTGACATGGTCAGGAGATACTTCATTGTTTTGATGTAGACTTCGTCCTTATCGTAGTAGTGATGACATGAATCGCATTATGCTTCTATTGATAAGTTACAAGCACACCACTTAGTCCGGCAAGCTTCCTTATGATTGCTCTTTCATTCTTAGATTCTGAAACTATACTGCAATTGAAGTTGAGGACATTTGGAGTTTATTTCTTTTTTATTTTCATTGTTGATCAATGATGTTTCTGAACTATGCCCGATCATCAAGCCAAACCTGAACCATTACTTTTAGACGTTGCAATGGTTTCTTAACAATTCTATTATAGAAAAGCAGGCTTAGAATTCTGATTTACTTGTCTTCATTGTGTCTTGGAGTTCATTTAGATGCTCACATTCAACAATTTAAACATTTGGCTGTAATCTTCTGCAGACTGTGAATGGAAAGCACAAGCTGGAAACCTCTGCATAGCCTCGTTCGATTGGAGCTGCAGTGGCATCTGCAAGTCTGCAGAAAGGATTAAAGAGGTCCATCAACGATGCGGCGAAGGAGAAAATGCAATATGGAATGCGGTTTTCTAATGCATTCAAGATTTGTGAGATGTATTTTAGTATTGAACTGAAATAGGATCACAAATTTTAAATGGATTTTGGTAGGAGAGGGCATCTTCTATTATATATAGATATATGTTTTTTCTTTCTTCTTTTTGTGAGATCGCCATTGTAGATGATAGAGAAAGAATGATGAAGATATGAAGGAGAGGGAGAGGCTGCTTGCCTCCCTCCCACATTCTTCACCTATGCTTTGATGAGCAACTTTGTACTTTGTAAAACTTGGTTCAAATCAATATATTGCTGATTTTCAATAATGACTTGTAACTAATACCGGCGCCGAATAGTTGGGATAAGACTGTTTGTTTCACGCTTTCTAGTGAGTAGCATTCAATGTCATTTAGGTTTTGTTTGAGACGGTTTTTTAATGCTTTCGAAAACAGCTTTCTAGTATAAAAATTTCTTGTCCAAAAAATTTTTGAATTAAAAAACTGTTTTAAAAAACAGTCCCAATCAAAACCTTAATCTCTCTTTGTATTAGGAAACAAAGATAACACCCACACACAATCGCACGATCTTCATTCAATTCTAAGAATAAATTGTTCTATTATTTATATGTTCATAATGTTTTAATACACAATAATGAGATAAATATAGAAACTACTTGAACTTAGAATTTTGAAGGAAATAAGATATGAAAGATTATTTTAAACAAGACAAATGCAAAAGATCACTCTCTAAATACAACCAAAGCAATGTGTGGAGAGAGAGAGAGGGGGGATAAGCAAGTTAATTAAGGCTTTGTTTGGGATGATTTTTTTTATTGATTATCGAAGCAACTATTTAGTATAAAAATTTTAATTTTAATACTAAAAAGTTGCTTTAAGAAGCAGTAAAAAAAATCATCCCAAACAAGATCTAAGTGGTGTGAATATCGAAAATCAAACCAATCAAATTATATTTATAATCGAATCAAATTAACTTAAAATATAATTTGATTTATACAATTTAAGTTTCTTTTTTACAGTTTTTACTATTTTTTAAAATAATTTTTAACATAAAAAATTTGATTTTTATACTAAAAAGCTGCTTTAAGAAGAAGCAAGAAAGTAGTCCCAAACAAAACTTTAATTTTGAATAACTTAAATTTTCCTCTTATTTATTTATAATTTATGAATTTCTTAATTTAATTTAATTTTTAATTTGACCAATTTCTTAAAAAAAATAAAATTATAATCAATAATTAAGCTGCTCTTTAAAAAACTGAATTAAGTCAAATCAATTTAATTTTAATTCTATCTTCATTAAATTTATGGCCTTTCACCCACCACACTTTCGGCTTTGTTTAAGAAGACCGCCTCTCTCTCTTTGTCTCTGTCCAACAGTTTCTTTTCCCCTACTTTCCTCATTTTCTTCGTAACCTTTCGAGTATGAAGGATTTGCATCTTAATCTCAGATTTCTTGAGATCTTTCTCAGACTTTCTATACTTCCCCTCACCATTGCCTCAGCATTCACGGTGGTGCAGACAAAGGATTCAACCGATCAATATGGCAAGGTTGAGTTCACCAATATCTCTAGCTTCAAGTAAGAACCTCTCTCTCTCTCTCTCTCTCTCGTGCAGATTCTTGTTCTCAACGAACTGCATCACTGCAACCTATGCTCTCTTTATCTGATGAGCTTTCGTGCAGGTTCTTGTTCTCAATGAACTGCATCTCTGCACCCTATGCTCTAATCTCAGCAACCCTCTTGATGAGCCTAAGAGAAAACAGAACTACATGGAGTTTCTTTCTTCTAGACCAGGTTACATCAAATCCCTAATGTTGTTCCACTAAATCATCTTACTTTGTCTTTTCCAAACAAGTTTGTTAAGATTAATCACTAAAACAGTGGAGAATAGTTCTAAATTGGGAATAAAATGTGTGCTGAGTTACTAAGCTCACCCGCTGTTCTTCCTCCTGACTATTGCTGTCATAAGCAGCACATTCTTAGGTTAAATATGTTTCAACTTCCTAACAATATTTTGTTAATAATTTCTCAGCTGATAGCTTATTTAATGGTGACATCAAGTTCAGCAGCAGCAGAGCTTCTGTATCTGGCTCATGAGGGAGACAGAGAGGTCTCATGGAGTGAGGTCTGCAGCTACTTTGGGAAGTTCTGTAGCAAAGGAGAAACCTCACTGGTTCTCCATTTTCTTGCTCTTCTCTGCTTCATTTGTCTTTCTTTGATCTCGGCTTTAAGGGTTTTCAGAAAGTTTGAACCTCCTTCAGTTTCTGCCAAAGAAGAGGGGAGACAAGGCAGTGATTTGCATTGATGAAGCTGTGATTAGAAGGGAGTGTTGGGCTTTTCTTTGTAAATGCTTATGTTTTACTTCATATGTAAAGAAAATCATATTTGTGGCAATCATATGGAGCTCAACTTTTGCTTTATCTAAGTTTCTTTTAGTCTTTTTCTTTGTTAATCGGTTGGGAAACAGAATTATTGGATATTTTTAAATTAAGATTTTAATATAATTTTGATGATTTCATAATTCATATGAGCTCCAATTAACAACAACATCAAGCTTTTATCTCAATATGTGGGGTTGATTATATAATTTTTTTTTTATTCTGTTCTATTAAACTTTAATTAGAATGGATTCAAAATTTGCTAATAATTCTTATTTTGATTTATTTTAAAAAATCTCAGATTAATTAAAAAGGAGCTTTGTTCAAAATTTATGGATTTTGAGTGAAATTTTCCTTGAATCATTAATATTTAATCATCAATATCTCATTACATTAGATGAATACAATCTTATAATAATATGAATTTTAATTAGATGATTTTTTCCTATTTTCCTATTTTAAACATTAGAGAGAGTCTTTTGGTTACATAAAACGGCGGTCTTCCAATGACTCTGTTAGAAGAGTAGAGGTATTAGATTTGACTTATGTTAAGAAAGGAAGAGACAGACCTAAAAAGACTTAGTTAGAAAATATTATGAATGACATTTCTTTATTAGATTTAAACGAGAATTTGACATTTAATATGACATAATGGAGAAAAAAAATACATCTTGCCGACCCCACGTAGTGGGATAAAGGCGTGATGTTGTTGTTGTTGTTGTTAAATATGTTTTATAATGCCATAACAAATGAATAAAATTATGATAGAAATCTATTGAGAATTTTGAAACCTGATTTTGAAAATAATTATTACATGTGAAGCCAATCACAAAAAACTGTAGTATTTTTTTCTTCTGTATATAATGTGTAAAAATAATCCACAAAATAGAAAAACTTTTTTAAGAACAGGGTATCTATCCACTGCCACCTCTCTAAAGGAAGGGAAATTATTATGTGCCGCGACCAGACGTAGAACACTATCTGAAAACAAACCAGAATGTGCCATATCAGCAATATATAATGATATCGAGCGGTACCAAGCAATACCGAGCCATAGTATTGAGTACAAGGTGACGTTACAAATCCTAATTGATCTCCGAAAGACATTCGATGTCCGCACAGAATAATTTCTCCTAGAGGAGGCATTTGATGGAATAACTAATCTCTTGATGAACCTAGAAGCAAGATAAGCTTTGTACATAATAATATCTTAGTTTTGATGATAGAAACTCTTTATTCATGCAAAATTTGCCAACAAACTATTGCAAATTAGTCAGCTAATATTTCTGGCCCATCAAATTAAGTTTATATAAAGCATGTTTGTAAAACAATAATGGAAGACACTCTATTTAATGCTACTAATTATAACTGACAGCTACATATCATATTCATGCTTCAAAGCTTGCACCTTTGCCTTTGCCTTTGCCTTACGGAGCAGTTCAGTTGCCATAAATGTTCTACTGTCAAATTAAGTGCACCATACAGTTTTTCTTCATATTTTTGAGGAAAAAAAATCTTAACTACTGAATTATGGAGGAAATAAAAATATCAAGATAAGTTCAATAAAAAATGGATACTAAGGAACAACCACTGAAACTGGAAAATTTATTGTTCGACAGTTTAATTTCCATATATATTTTGTACGCATTGATGGCCGAAAAAGAAAGAAAACATAAATAGAAAGCTTAAAAAGCTCCTTTTTTTTGAAGAATCACAAAAAGATGCAAAAAGATATAAATAACAAGGATCATTATGATGATGGGCCCAAGATAAACACGGCACATCTTCGGAGGCATATCAGAGCACGTCACATCACCTTCTTGCTGTGTACCCGCTTTGTATCGGGGGTGGCATGACGCGCTCTAATTCACCTCCAGACATAGAGCTACGTTCAATATCTGCACGGAATAATTTCTCCAAGATTTATGAAATCAAAAGAAAATTAAAAATCAGAAGAAACAATTTAAAGGAAGAATTACAGAAATAAACAGATCCAGAAATTTCAGATTAATGTCAATGGTCATACAAAGCAAATTAGTAGAGGATTGGGGAAGCATGAGATCTGCGAAAGAATGTACACCCTGTTCTTATGTTGGGTCATGGTATTTACAGAGATATAAGTAGATTCCTCCGAGATTTAGAAGGACCCAAATGTGTTCTCTCCACTGTAGGTCATATAAAGAAAACCATCTTCATCTTTGTTCTCCTCATAAATGGCAGACATCATCGCAGCTGGAAAAAAAGATAATTAAACAAGTTAAAATCAAAGCTTGAAAGTTTACATAATGTTACAAAGGTATTTGACATGGAAATTCCACTGTGTTTTTCATTAACACCAAGGAGAAATAATAACGATTGAAACTGATAAAATCTGACAGGATCTTTTTTCATATTTGCTTTCTCCTCTCTCCTACTTATAAGCTGTAGCAACGCATTTTAATGCAAGAATTTTTTTCGGACATTTACTATCTTACCTGTGGGTGGTAAAGTATTCTTGACAAAGATGAATATGGCTTTCTCAGCACTAAGCTTGATTCTCTTTCGAACAACATAGACAAACTGTCCAACGGTTAGATCAGCTGGGACGAGATACCTGAAAAATCAGTTTGCAAAAGTTAATATACCAAATATGAGAAGTTTCTATAACAGTATTTGATGATTTTGAACCACAAACATTAGTCAGAATTCATCCACTAATATCAATTTAAATTCTGCCAGTATGAGAAATTATTCTGTGTGGACGTCGGACGCAGCTCTATGTCTGAATTCTGCGGTACCGAGCAGATCGAGCCGCAGTACAGTAAAAAGATGATGCGGTGCATCTTTATTGATCTCCGAATGGCGTTCGGTGTCGCACAGAATAAATTTTTCCATTCATGACCATACCAATAGTAAATGCATCCCATTGCATTACCCTTTTTCTAATGTTTTATTTTTGAATCATAATCCTAAACTAACAATTGCATGCGCCAGATGTTTTTAACATATTTTTCTTAGAATATGGAAATCAGATGCAAAAAGAAGAAACGTTCAGGCCCGTTGAAGATCATTTTGATGCCCATGTAGTATTACTATAGTTCTTAAAAGGTTATATCAACTCTAGTGCTAAACAAGAGTTGAAGTCATCGTCAAGCCTATTAAGCGGCACAAAAACATAAGAACCCCATTATAAAACTACAATCCAACAGTTTGGAAACTGGTAATTACTGAAGAAGGTAAATGGCATGAAAATGCAACTACTACAAATGCTCAAGGCCCAAGCACCAAAAAAACACCCACAACAAAACCAACATGCCAACACTTCTAAGAGTGATAACAATTGAGCTCGAGTAAGTCAGCCTCAAATCCAGTCTGAAGATTTTGAATTTGGGCTCAAATTGAGTCAACTAAAAAATTATTATTTTTCAGTTCACTTTTGAGTGAGCTAAGTCCATAATCTCTCAAAAAAAGTTTTTAAAATTCCTAATCGAGCCTTTACATATAAAGTACGTAGTCCTTGCATGTTACTTTATATTTTAGATGCAAAACAAATATTAAAAATATACAATATGAATAAATGTGCATGTAATATAGTATAATTGAACCAAAATACAAACCACAACACATACTTACATGTGCATATCAGCATGCATAACCTTAATGAATATCCATACCATAAAAGAAGTACAATAAGCTTAAAGAACTCCAATATTATATGCACCTTATCTTGGAAAAAGTGCAATTATATAAATTATCATTAAACTAAACCAGCTCCGCAGCATACTAAGGATTCTTTTTATTTTAAATACAGATCCAACCAATATGGACATGCAAAAAGTGCCATATGGTAGTATGCCAATAACTAGTTTGCACAAATGAATAAAGCCTGATTGTAACATAATAAATATTGGCGTTTAGCAGAGCAAATTGCAACGGGTTGCCAAAAGAGGTTTCCTAATGGACAGTTTATTTACTATGGAAAAGCAAGAAAAAGTACGAGAGTCAAAACTTTCCTCCAAATTTCTTGTTTTCTACTCCAAAACCTGGTACTGTCTCAAATCAGCACCAATGAAATTTTTTTTCTAGTAAATGACATCTTGTTTTTGAGAACAAAGGCACGCCCTACTTTCAAGAAACGAAGGAATGACCTGAAACTATAGAATATAACATAAAACCTTTTTTTTTTCTTCCTGATATCAAATAAATATGAAAAAATCCCTCCTTTCTTACTTTGTAAAAAACTTCCACTTCTTAAACTTATAGAAAAATATAAAATAAAACTTTTTTTTCTTCATGGGTTCAAGTAAATATGGAATAAAATCCTCCTTTCTTACTAGAAAACTTCCACTTCTTACAGTAAAAGGGAATTTCTACTCTAGCATGTGTAAAAAATGCACAGATGGGATTATTAAAAAATACGAAAGAAGAGCATCAAGGAAATGACTAGAGGAACAATTTAAACCAAAATATCACCACCACCGGTATGAGTCCAACAATATAATAGCATTTAAGATATAAAAACCCAATGCACTCTAGAAAGTCAAGATTCAACGTGCAGCAACAACAACAAAAACAACAACAACATCAAGCCTTTATCTCACTACATGGGGTCGGCTAAATGAATCCATTTTCTCCGTTGTATCCTATTAAGAGTTAAATTCTCATTTAAATCTAATAAAGAAATGTCATTTCTAATATTTTCTAAAGTCTTTTTAGGTCTACCTTTACCTTTTTTAGCATAAGTCAAATCTCATACATCTACTTTCCTAACCAGGTCATCGAAAGGCAGCCATTCTATGTGGCCAAACCATCAAAGGCGAGACTCTCTCTAATCTTATCTTCCACTAGAGCTACTCCAACCTTTTCACATATATGCTCAGCATGCAAACTAAAAAAATTAAGTTTGATATGCAAAATAATCTAATGAATAAAACTCACTTTTTCTTATCAATGTCTGGTATGTCGCTCCTCTCAGCTTTCTCCACGATTACCTATATAGCATGATGATATCCATCAGAACAAGCCCATTGATTATAAAGAAAAAAAAATGAAAATAAAGAGAAACATACAGGAATTCTGTCTGGATATTTCTCCCTAATTCGGGAAGCCTCTGCTTGCCTCCTTTCTACATACCACAACAACAAATGAAAAAAAAAAATCAGCTACTATAAAATCATGGCAATAAAGCAAAAGACTAAGATCATGGGATAACAAACCATAGACCATATGAAATACTAAAGCTTATGTTAATAAATCAGAAATTGATAGCTTCAAAAAATAAATCGGAAGTAATAACTATATTAATGATTGTTGGTTCAGCACAAGCCTGCATGTGTAAAAGCTTCGCATCAGCCAATGTCACTTACGACTAAACTAGCAATGATGATTTTCAACTTCCAATGCTTATCAAGTGTTCAAAACCAGACAGTTCCAAAAGTTCAATGGTTTAAGATTAGATTATTGTTCAAGAAAAAAAAAAGTTCCAGATTCAGCCATGCAATTCATCGTCATAAATAAACTTGACATCATATATAATCTTTAACATATCAAAGTCAAGCATTCCACTGAGTCAATTTAGCTCCTAATTTTTATGTCTTTTATCAAAATTTTAGTAACATATATAGATCTTATTATTTTACTCGCAAGCATATATGAATGAGTGCTTTTATAGACCTTTCATTCGGATTATAGATTGGTCCTTAGCTGGTGCTGGTTCAGTAAATGACAGAAGAGCTTTCAATTCAAGACATGAACCTTCAGGTAGTTGGTTCCTACTCATAAAGGGACAAATAAAACTTCTACATTTGAGTATTTCCCTTGACATTTGAAGAGGAATTTGTTCAAAACTGTGAATGTTAATCCATGTTGTATGATAGTAGATCAAATTGCTGCTATTTAAACCTTAATTTCAGATATTAATAATTGTGAAGCTAAGGCATTCTTTCTGCTTATCATTATTTACATAGCTCATGCCAGTGGCCCAGTGGTACTATATACTGTGATAAACCTTAACTTTTATATCGATGGAAGTGATCACTAACAATGCCCTTGCTACTGGCTTAAACTTGGTCAACAGACCTGATATTCAATTTGAAAACTCCATTGAGATGATCGGTGTACTTCAACAGGCCTGTGGTGGCTATCTTATTGATTCAGAGATACAATGGTAGACAAACATTCAATCTTATAATGTTAATTGATAATCTTATAATGTTAATTGATAGACACGCCTTGTGATTGTCCTATAGATAAATATATTACAGTGCATATTGATTACTTGCCTTACTCATGAACTGTAAAACAACTCCATATACAGTTCCCTAATCTGCATGTGGTTATAAGCACATACACTTATATTAAGTTGAAAATATTAAAATTCAAGCAAGTTCCCATGAGTCAAAGTAATAAATTTCAATTTAAATAATTTAAGATTTATAATAGTTTCAAGACAGGTTTTAAGACTCGATTTCAGATTCCATCTAGCATGACAGATTTAGTTTTGATAATTTCAATCTTCCATTACAATTTTAGTTTTAGTAAATTTTTTTCTTTTATAAATATTTAAATTTAAGTATTAAATAAATATAAACTATTTTTTATAATCTTTATAAATTTATAAAATAGAGATATTTAAAATTTGAGATTATTGCAGTGTGTTTAATATTAGAAATAAATAAATAATAGTTCATATTTGAATATTTAATCATGGTTACATTTTTATTGCTAATTGGAATGGAAGATAAGATTAGAGAGAGTCGTCTTAGATGGTTTGGTCACATAAAATGACGGTCTTCCGATCACCCGATTAGGAAAGTAGATGCATTAAATTTGACTTATGTTAAGAAAGGTAGAGGTATAACTAAAAAGACTTGGTTAGGAAATATTAGATATGAACTTTCTTTATTAGATTTAGATGAGGCAAAATTTTTGATAGGATAAGATTTTAAAATTATATTAGGAATAGGATAAAAAAAATTAAAAATTAAAAAGGATCAGCCGCGTGAACATAATTCGCGTTTTGTAGCAAAACGCAAAGCAGAACTGCGTTTTCTATAGAAAACGCGATCTAGGATCGCATTTTCTATAGAAAACGTGATCCTAGATCGCATTTTCTATAGAAAACGTGATCCTAGATCGCATTTTCTGTACAACTCTATTTCTTCAGCATTTTTGTCCCGTTATTATTAAAAATATTAAGTACAGTAATATTAGATTAATTTTATTTGTAAATATTAAGTATATTAGTAATATAATTAGGTGTAATAAATTTAGAGATATATTATTTATTTTGAGTGTAAGTATTAACTTGTTTATTTTAGAAATAATATAAATATTTGCCTATTATTTTTTTTGTTTAAATGAAAGCTTAAAAAATTAGTTTGTTTGGAAGAATTTGTAGAAATAACTTGTTTTAGTTAATGAGTATTATATCAATTTAAATTTAATCAGATTAATACTATTGATTAATACATTTAATTACTTAAAGAATATAATCAGATTAATAAATTGATTGTTAATTTTTAAATAAATTTAATCAGATTAATAAATTCAATAATATACGTTTTTATAATAAAATTGATTGTTAATTTTAAATTTAAAAGAAAATTTTATTAAAACTGATTGTTAAATTTAAAAGAAAATTTTCACTGTATGTCATCTAGTTGTACGTCACTCAAAATGAGTTGGTCATATATGGAGATGCTAAAAGGAGTACCCAACAAAGAAAGATTTGATGAAGAAAGTCGTAGGATTCATGCTTCTATAGCACGAGCCGGTGATACTCCATTAGAGCGAAAGGCGAATGCAAATGAGATTTTTCGGTGTTGTCTCCACAAATGGTCAGAAGAAGAGGATGATAGGCTCTGGGCTATACATGCTGAGTTGATCGTGGTAAAACTTTTCAGGACACAAAATTTTTAAATGCTGCAGGTTGGAAATCACTTGAAATTAGGTTCAGAGAGGTTAACGGTCATTTTGTTAGTCCTCACTTCTTACAGATGCGATACCACGAGCTGAAACGCCACTGAGATGAGGGTCATTCCCCACCAGATATCGACTGTAGTCACCTTGATCATGAGCATGTCATTTTTTATCGTAGTTGGTGTTCGAGATATGACAAATTTATTAAAAATTTTTATAAAGATCGGATGAAGGAGGTAATACTTGATGGTCAGCTGAGAGAGTTCTTCAAACTTGAGGATTGGCAGGACCTACAGTATGAGTTTGAGTGCAAGATGAAGTGTTGTCCAACACAGTCACAGCTCCAATCACGTATGCATATGCTGCTTAGGAATTAGTACACCTGTGTTTTCCCTCTATCTCTATCTAAAATATTTTTAACTCTCTCTCTCTCTCTATCTAAAATTTCACATTAATACAAAGAAATAGAATTCAACAAATATAAAAAACTAAAAAAATTTCCATCGGGTGGCCATGATCTACACATTGGCATACTACAAAGAAAGTTATTTAGGAAATTTTCATGTAATCCCAGACAGGACATCATGGCCACCATATAGCGATGATCATGGTTTAATACCATTATTGGCACCAGCATTTAGTCGTCGTTCTGGCAGACCTAGAACTAACCGGTATCGTAACAGCATGGATGAAACACGCAGTACAGCAAGCAGAACTTGCTCCTTCTGCCACAACAGGGGATACAACATTGCAACCTGCCCTACAAATCCAAGTCGTAGTAGGAGGAGAGCTTAGGGATATTGAAATGGGATGTGAGATGATGAGAGACATGTAATATCATTCTCTTTGTATCTGTCATATTTTATGTAATTCAATAATTATTATTGTACTGAAGATATATCTGCTCTCTCATAATTTGTCAGTTTTTTTAATCCAGAATTTTCACCACATACTTCATTTTTAGATAATTCATAAATTCACATTGAAATTAAAGTTGAGATAGAAATATAGTAATCAATATCTTCGCTTTATTTCCTTGTAATCCCTTTCTAGCTGTTGTATTTGATGGAGGGGAGAGGTGACAGAGCTAGACCACGACGGTCTAGACGAGCTAGTACTCGTGCACAGCCAAATGTGCCAGACTCAGATGAGCAACTGAGCATAGCTCAATTGGGGGATGCTCATAGAGCTTCAAATATTAATGAGGTATATTAATTTCAACATATCCATACATTAATGCAGTATACTAATCATAAAAAGTATCCAAAATTTTATATATCATGTCAACTATTTAATTTCACAGACTGTGCATCTTGTGGCTTCAACCCACTTGCATATGGCACGTGAGTGGCCTGTCCGTTGCCTGCGATTGATCCATGCACTACAGATTACGAGCTTGGATTCCATTAGGCACCAGCATTTCATTCAGTTGGACCACTCCTTGATAGCTGCTTTGGTTGAGAGGTGGTGTCCAATGATAAACACGTTCCACCTATCGGTCGGGGAGATGACGATGACATTGCAAGACGTCCAGTTGATCTTGGGCATCAGGATTGATGGTGCTCCCATGATTGGTAGTACGATGGTTGGCGAAGGTTTACGTTGGGACACATGGATTGATTGCTGCAATGAGCTATTGGGTTCTCACCCAGACCCAAATGTACCGTACCATGATCCAGACAATCATGATGCTGAGGTTATATTTAGAATGGGCCATTCACAAGCTTACTCGATAGTACCGCTTCGATGGCTAAGATGGACTTTTTATCGGGAATCTTATGCAGACTTACCCCGACATGTCTTCTTCCGACATGTTAGGGCATTATATTATGTATATGCTTGGATGTTACTTATTACCAGATACCTCTGGTTCACACATTCATATGCAATATCTGCCGTTGCTTGAGAACATCGAGATTTTTGGCCAATACTCCCTTGGCTCATCCGTCTTGGCACATCTATATAGAGAGTTAAACCTTGCCACACGACCTTCTTGCATGTACATAGCTGGATGCCTTCCCCTATTGCAGGTCTGGGCTTGGGAGAGGATACATGTCGGTAGGCCGACACTTCGAGTTCCATTCCCTCGAGATATCATCGGGAAGCCCCTAGCATTAAGGTAATTTTCTATTCACATGCCATATTAAACTGTGCAGAACAAATTGAACAATATGAGATACCCTATATGATTGCAGGTGGGCAGAGGAAAGAGTGAGGGAAGTACCAGCTGAAAATATAATGACATACAGAGACGAGTTGGATGGACTTCAGCTTAGCCAGGTAACTTTAACTTAAAGTAAGCACACTAGAGATTTAGATGATTAATAAAAAATTTGATAACTAATAAGAATATATTTCACTCATTACATGCCATTTTCATGCCGTATACTGAAGCTATAATGGGCATGTTGCCTCAAATATGTCATGAAGCCAACGACATATGGACTGCACGTGCCCCTTTGATTAGCTGGAAGCGTGTCGAGTGGCATTTTCCTGACAGGGTGATGCGGCAATTTGGTGGGATCCAATCTTGCACGATTGAGCCTATGGAGAGATCATTCCGTCGTGTTGATGGTAGAGGACGAGCGGAGGTTGATTGGATGCATTACTACAGAGGATACATTGAGTTATGGAATAATAGATGGGCTCTTGGTATAACCATTACGCATCCATTGGGAGACGGTAGAGAAGAGTTATCATCCTATTTACAATGGTACCAATCTTGGGCATCCCTTTACTTACTAAAAGCACCAACAACTGCTCCAGAAACTATATACCCACGATCACCGGGGGAGAGAATAGTGGTACGTAATTGTACGGACTTTAAAATATTGCTTAATATACATGTATGCTACGTATATTAAATTTTACATTTACTTTCAGGTCGATTACTTCTTGCGTAGCAAAGACATTGCAGAGTCATATGCTATGGGCCAGATGGAGAGTGGAGGGTCAATGTATCAAGGATATGCTGACATTCTTGAACTTGCAAGACAAGTAGAGCAATCCGTATATATAGACACCACTGCGCGGCAACCTCGACAAGGACGAAGAACAAGACATATGGAGCAGTCTGCTAGGAGATCAACATCTCATGCTTCTGGATTACAATCAATTCCTGTTGACCCTCCAAGACATTCCATGTATGTAGGATCAGCTGATGCGGGCAGAGATTTTGGAATGACGGGGGCAGGCCCTTCTTTTATACGGGGAGAAGGGAGTTCATCACAAGTAAGAGGAGTAGGACCGTGGAATTTACCTGAATCACAATGGGTCGGTACGACATCTTCATACGGGCCAGCAGCTCCATATGACTTGAATAATCCAATGTGGACGACTCTATTTGGCTTGCCTGGAACTCCATCACAACATGGCATGGCTAGTGAACAAGTACAACCAGACATGGCCAGTACGCAGGAGGAAGAGGAGCTTGAGCAAGAAGAACCACAGCTCCAGAGGAGTAGGAGGGAACCATTAAGATACACCCCAGGCACAGATGCTCTTAGGCACAAGAAGAAGAGATAGTTGAAATTCAGGAGTATTTATTGATGTACTATGTCTGGACTTTATTATGTTCATTTTTCATAAGATGTACTCTCATCTTTATATTGAAATCAATCTTTATATTAAATGTGTGCACTTTAATTTCGCAAAATTTTTAACTCATCTACTTTTATCAACTTAGCTTGTGTTATCAATTCAGAATGCGTTGTCAATAAATATAAATTAAATTAAGCAATCTCCATTACTGATCCTTCTATTTTTAGTACGGGATAACCACATAAACAGGATAACATAACATATTAAAATAAAAGACACTCTTGCTGCTAAATAAAAAGGACGACGGGCATGAAAATACAAAAGATGGCCTCGAATAAGCGACGCTACAGGTGTACTAATTCCTAAGCAGCATATAAATACGTGATTGGAGCTGTGACTGTGTTGGACAACACTTCATCTTGCACTCAAACTCATACTGTAGGTCCTGCCAATCCTCAAGTTTGAAGAACTCTCTCAGCTGACCATCAGGTATTACCTCCTTCATCTGATCTTTATAAATTTTTTTAATAAATTTGTCATATCTCGAACATCAACTACGATAAAAAATAACATGCTCATGATCAAGGTGACTACAGTCGATATCTGGTGGTGAATGACCCTCGTCTCGGTGACGTTTCAGCTCGTGGTATCGCATCTGTAAGAAGTGAGGGCTAACAAAATGACCGTTAACCTCTCTGAACCTAATTTCAAGTGATTTCCAACCTGCAGCATTTAAAAAATTTTGTGTCCTGAAAAGTTTTACCACGATCAACTCAGCATGTATAGCCCAGAGCCTATCATCCTCTTCTTCTGATCATTTGTGGAGACAACACCGAAAAATCTCATTTGCATTCGCCTTTCGCTCTAATAGAGTATCACCGGCTCGTGCTATAGAAGCATGAATCCTACGACTTTCTTTAATAATTCATTTAAATATTTAATAATTCAAAAAAACATTTATTTAATTACAGATAAAAAAATTTTCCTACAATTAAAATTTTCTTTTAAATTTAAAATTAACAATCAATTTTATTATAAAAACGTATATTATTGAATTTATTAATCTGATTAAATTTATTTAAAAATTAACAATCAATTTATTAATCTGATTATATTCTTTAAGTAATTAAATGTATTAATCAATAATATTAATCTGATTAAATTTAAATTGATATAATACTCATTAACTAAAACAAGTTATTTCTACAAATTCTTCCAAACAAGCTAATTTTTTAAGCTTTCATTTAAACAAAAAAAATAATAGGCAAATATTTATATTATTTCTAAAATAAACAAGTTAATACTTACACTCAAAATAAATAATATATCTCTAAATTTATTACACCTAATTATATTACTAATATACTTAATATTTACAAATAAAATTAATCTAATATTACTGTACTTAATATTTTTAATAATAACGGGACAAAAATGCTGAAGAAACAGAGTTGTACAGAAAATACGATCTAGGATCACGTTTTCTATAGAAAATGCGATCCTAGATCGCGTTTTCTATAGAAAACGCAGTTCTGCTTTGCATTTTGCTAAAAAACGCGAATCCTGTTCACGCGGCTGATCCTTTTTAAATTTTTTTTTTTTTGATCCTACTCCTAATATAATTTTAAAATCTGATCCTATCAAAAATTTTCCATTTGACTCTTGACAAGACACAATGGAGAAAAAATGATTCATTTAGCCTACCCCACATAGTGGGATAAAGGTTTGTTGTTGTTGATGTACATTTTTATTGCTAATTCAATTTAATCCATCATTATCAAATAATTATTTTCAACTAATTGTAGTGCTTAGTAGTCTACTAGGCATCTACCATTCTTGCGATTTTTTTCAAAGGTTCCAAGATCGATAGTTACGCACATTGCAAAATAATTTTCCATCATATTGTAATATTGATTCAATCCAGAAAAGCCTGTGTCGGAACCATATTACAAACTGAAATGGCCAAACATTTTGAACTATGGCCAACAAAAAATTGGTCAGTTTTGCCTGATCAGTCAAAAGCCAAAATAAGGGGCAAATCTTCATGTATGTAGGCCTTGAAACCAATTCTAAACTAGAGTTCTGTATCAGTTTTGAGCAACACTTAAAACTATGATTTCAAGCTTGGAAAATGACTATCAACCGCAACAATATGAATACATAACTGCAAAGATCAAAACCTGAGTTTACATCCACCATTTGCTAAACTTATGATTAGGTCATGTATAAAATCCCAACTAAAGTTAATGCGGCATTTTAAATCCCAGTGGCATCTTAACCCTTTAAGATATCAACAATTCTGAAGTGAGCTTAGCCCTACATAGCTGCCATCTAGATATAAGGTAAATCAAGCCACGCAAATAGTAATACTTGATGGCCACATGCAAAGAAGAGCAAGAACAAACCAAACAGCACTTGAATTTTCAGCATTTAAACAACATTTAAATCTAGACGACACAACAATTTAATAAAAACAAACCAACAGCCACTCTCATATAAATTTCCTATTCTAATTCCAACAAATTTTCAGAGTTTTGAGCACTCTAATCTGAACAAAAAAAGTGTCCGAAACTGAGGGGCTGTTCGGCAAAGTAGGATTTAACTATAGTAGGATTTAATAAATCCGGATTTAGTAAATCTGGAATGTTTTAAATCCTAAAAACTGTTTGACAAGATAAAGCTTAAATCATGTTAAATTCTGTGTAACTGTTTGACAACATAATCTAAGATTTAAGACACTTAGCACATTAAAATTTCAAATTTAATTTATATTTTAAGTATGAGTTACTCATTAATTAGAAGTTAATTTAACTACTCAATAGTTTAATTATAATTTAAATAATTTTAATTTACTCAATATAATATTAATTATTTGCGTATTCTATCACTAATTAAATAAGTTGGTAATTATTAATTAATAATGGAATCAGTATTCAATATTTAATTAATTTTATAATTATTTATTATTGTACTCCTTAGGGCTGTCTAAGGCAAGATGGCGGGAGCTCTAGAACGAGTCAGATCGGAAGTCACACAGATAGACAACGTTCTTCCTTCGCCTCCTTCGAGGACGACGGAGCTCGCTCATAGCGACGGTAACAAACTTTCTCTCCTTTCGCGCGCTTCTTCGGCCAAATCCCATAAATCCGCCAAACCAAAGGATTTAGTAAATTCGGAATTCATAGCAACAAAGGGGAAACAAAGGATTAAATTCACTGTCAGATTTAAGATGCCCATTTTTTCTGTATGGCAGAATTTACCCTAAATACTGCTTCAAATTCGCTACCAAACAGCCTCTAAAGATCCAAACTTTAACGATTTCACAAACAGTAAAGAAAACATCATAAAACATTAAAATTAAAACAAACAAAAAAAACAATAATTTCAAGATTTCCATGAGGAACTAACCTAGAGGATGCTCAAGCTTAAAGGAACTTTTCTCCATGGTCGACTTCCTCTTTCCTTCCGTAAGGCGAAGATGGAGCGAAAGAATGAGATCAAACAAGAAAAAAAACGCTCTGAAAGCGAGAGGACGAGCAAGAAAAGGAGAAAAAAAGCAACAAGAAATCGAAAGTATAAAGAGACCAAACCGATCGGTAGACCGTAGATGAACAGAATTAAGCGGAGAAATCTCCTTCACCGTAAAGCAAAAGGATAGTACCGACGACTTCGGAAAAAAAAACTTTTTCTTCTATCGGGATTGAACGTCGCGATTAGGTTAGCTTGATATACAGGATCACGAAATAGCGTGACGCAGAAAATTCTCTTTCCTGCTCTCCAAGAAATCTACAAGAAACACGGAATAATTAAACCAATGTTTATTATCGTGCCACGTCAGTAATTTTGGCGTAATTAATGTTAAAATACGAACCTGGCGTAGATTGACGATGCTACAGAATTTATAAAAAACAACTTCTTTTAAACTGAAATTAATTTACAGAGTAGGTAAAAAAAATACGGAATTTAATTATCAAATTTTAATAGAAATTAAAATTTCATTATCCTAAAAAAAATAAAATTAAATAGAGTTTTGATTATTTGTTAAATTATAAGTGTTTAGTAAATTTTGATAAATTTATTGTTATTTTTAATAAAAAAAATAAATTAAATAGAGTTTTATTTAATAGCACGTTTTTTCACCATTTTATTAAAAAGTAAGTTAAAATTTTATTAATTAAATTAAATTAAAATTTTCACGGGTGAAGAGATGGAATAATGAATAAAATTAGAATTTATTATATCTATATATATATATATATATATAATTTAATTTTAAATTTTGATAGATTAATTGTTATTTAATATATATAAATTAATTTTAAAATATAATAATATTTAATTTTATTTATTATTCCATAAATAACAATTAATCTATCTAAATTTACTAATCACTTATAATTTAACAAATAACAAAAACGTGATTTAAATTTTTATTTTTTTAGAAACTATCTTTTTCTTATTTTTTTTTTTAACCGGTGAATAGAAAACGGAGAATTAAAATTCGGTTTTCAGTTAAATAGAAATTGGATAATGAAGTTCTACTTTCTATTAAAATCGAATAATTAAATTTGATATTTGCTACATTTTAAAATTTTTCATTAACATCTACTTAAGGTAATTTAAATTTAAAGCAAGCTATTTTCACGGAATAGAAATCTAGAAAAAAAATTTACTTAAAAAGATATCTGAATGTGTTCTATGTCATTATAGGTTGAATTTATTGGGATTAATATTTACATTTGATAGTACCAACTTCACTAATCAAAATACAAATCTAATAATTTTAAATATACTACATCATATCAAGATATTATTATTGCTTCGTGCTACAAAATTTACGTTTGGTATTTTATATTTTAACTTTGGACAAATATTTAACGCAAAAAAAAAAAAAAAATTGTGGCAAACCAAAAAACTTTTACGTAGGAAATTTGGAGATCATTTACAAAAAAATAATAATTGTCTTAATGATGTCAATATTTGTAATTTTGGAGGAACTATTTGTTCTAGGATTTTATGGATGGTTCATAAGTGACCTTTGATTCAAGTAGAGAATATGGTGCAAAAAGTTTTGCAAGAGAAGAAATCTATAAGAAGGTTTATAGGGGAGTGTTGTGGAGTAGACTTAGGCTTCATTTGTGACGGCTTTTTTATTGCTTTCTAAAACGGAGTTTTAGTACAAAATTTTTTAATTTTGTACTAAAACTCCGTTTTAGAAAGCAATAAAAAAGCCGTCCCAAACGAAGCCTTAGTTTTCATTTGGGATAGCTTTCTTACTGCTTATTGAATCAATTTTTTAATACAAAAATTAAAAATTTTATATTGAAAAACTGATTTAAGAAGCATTAAAAAACAACTTTTTGCTACTTTATAAAACTACTTAGTGCAAACATTTTTAAATAAAAAAATTTTTATACTAGAAAATAGTTTTAGAAAGCAGCAAAGAAGCTATCCCATGCTTCATTTGGGATAGCTTTCTTAATGTTTTTTAAAACAACTTTTTAGTGCAAAATCTTAATTGAGAAAAATTGATGAGTAATAGTGGTTAATATAATTTAGGGTTAACAAAATAATATATATAATTTAGGGTTTTTGATTTGCCATATTTGTTTACCATATTGCATAGGTTCTTAAGGTTATGATTAATTTTACAACCTTTTAATATCAAAGATTTTTATGCCTTTTAAGTGGTGTAATGATGACCCACATGAAGTAATTAAAAAAGAAAGATATTTTAGTACTAATTAATAAACAATAAAAACACAAAACAAGGAGTTCATACAAATATTGCCTTTGAAGGTAAGTCTACAATTTGAAATTTGACGAGCTATGATACACATCACTTTTGAGCTAATTGCATGATGCCATTAAGGGGCTGTTTGATTGAGAGAATTTTGACGACCGTTTTCATGACTATATTGCAATGATGGTTAACAGTGTAGCTCAAGTTGCTAATTCAATTTAAACAACAACAAGAGCTCCTAAGGAAAGAAAAAAAAATAGCGATCTAGCTTTCCAAAATTTTATAAGAAAGAGATTGATATCATGTATGATAACTTACACAAAAACACAACAATGATTCAATCATTCCTCTCAAAACCTAAGGAGTTAAAGGCTCGATAGATGCGAAATGAATTAAACAAATTATTCGTTTGCATCATAAGAGAGAAACTTGTATGTTATAGCTTTAGCTCTTCATACTGGATTTCATTTTTTTACAATTTCATCTGCTTGATTAATATTTTATAATCAAATATTTTCACCATGAGAGCTCATATGGTTGATGATAGCATATACAAAGAGAACTAATGAAGAAGAAATTTTAAATGCCAAGAATAGTGTTATAGCCTTACTCTGTAGATACCCAACCAAACAATCTCAAAGTATTCAGTATGCACTAATTTATTTTACTCTACATGCATTAAACCAAATTATATATAAAAAAAAAGTTTCTAAAAGTTTTTTTTTTATTGCAAAAGTTTAGAGAATCTAATGTATTATTATTATAACATTTATTGATTGTCAAGGAGATGATTATCCAATAACTTCTCCATTAACTCTAGGAGTAAGAATTTGCCTACCAATAACTCATGTTAGTATGAAGTAATAAACATCAAGAAGTTCAACATATTGGTCCTCAAAGAACAGGATTACATTAGTGATTCAATTGCAGATGCCATCCTTCAGTTTGTACCCCCTATTGATTAATGAACTTAAAGTAGAATCGACAAAAGAAGACTTCAAATTACAAAAACTATGGTTGAAGAATATGCAATGCAAAAGTTTCTATAGAAATACACTAATGCGTAGCTTTTGCACACAGAAAATGATAACAAACAATATTTTCTTAAATGGAACTCAGTTCTCTCGATGGCAATAGCTTTTACTTATTCGAGCAGATGATTGCAATTATACAGCCAGCACCTGAGACTTCTGATCAATTCCATTGAAAACCAGTGTTCCATTCAATGGAACAAATTGCTTTGTAATAAGCTGTGAGGCCAAGAAACCAAACAGTAAAATTTTTTGTGTATTGTACTTAAAAACATGAGAACTGACAGGGATCCATACCTTGATTGCTTCCTGGGAGGCAACGCCCCCTATGAAGGCTGCTACTGGATGGATTTCAGCACCTCCATATCTGCACATTTCATTGATTAGATCCTCAGCTAGAGTGGAACCATGAAGACCGGAGTCGCTCAGTACACCAACTGCAATGGTCTTCAATCTAGATATGTCTTCCTCCATTTCACTGTAAAGTTTCAGCAATGTATTAGCATTCCTTTTGACAAAAATAAAAATAAAAACCAATAATAAATCAAAAGATTAAAGCTTCGTTTGGAACGGCTTTCTTTCTACTTTTTAATTTTAATTTTTGTACTAAAAAACTGTTTTAAGAAGTAATAAGAAAGTCGTCCCAAACGAAGCCTAAATCTCAAAATAGTATCTTGACTAATCATGTGTAGCCAATTTAATCTCAGAGAATCACATTTTTATTTTTTCATTTAGTTTTTCGACCATATAAGTTCGATCTAAAATAATTTCATATAAAATCTATCATACAAAAGTATTCTCAAGTCAATCCCACAAGGCATCAACCATACAAAATTGAACATAAATGTCCCTAAGAGATTATTTAGGATCAATTTTGTATGATTAAATTGGCCACACACCAATAGCCTCAGAACTATTTTAGATTTTAACCCGGAAAAGATTAAATCCCAAAACGGAAAGTAGCATCCATACTTACTTATCAAACAATCCAGGAAATCTGTTGTAATTGGCAGTAAACCGATCAACAGCTCGGAGTAGAATGTAGAAGCTAACAGAAAAGCTGTGACAATCAAAGTAGATACAATAATTCTTTGAGTTACAACTGTGTTTAGCATGTTCCAAAGCTTGCATGTATGATTGGCATGGGATTATCATAGTGTTAAATTTTGGCATTGATTCAACTCATTCAAAGCATGAAACTTAGCAAACATAATTCTAAATCAAGAGAATCAAAAGATCACGCCAATGGTACCTGCTTTAGAAACATATGATGAAACATGACGCTGCTAAAGAGTAAATGCAAAAGCATAAAACATTTATAAGTGTAATCCGCCGCTATTGACATTAAGGCTTCGTTAGGGACAGCTTTCTTACTGCTTCTTAAAGCAGCTTTCTAGTTAAAAAATTTTAATTTTTATACTTAAAAGCTGCTTTAAGAAGCAATAAGAAAGCCGTCCCAAACACAACCTAAGACAAAATGAACAAAATTCTTGGCTTAATGCCTTGATACGGCGGAAAACCTCCTATGCTAGAATGACCAAATTATTATAGAAGGAACCATTTACACCTCATTTTTCATCACAACTTAAGGAAAAAAAATCCCTTAGGCATATCTCAAACTTTGAATGCCACGATGCATGCAATCTTTAATGTTTAAAATAAGACTTATAAGCATATCAAGAGTCAAATCTAAAGCATCACATTCAAACTAACCTATTTATTTGAAAAGAGGATTATGCCTAATTAGTTGTATATGATTTGCACAAAGAATTTGAGATATATACAAATCATCACAAAGTCACCTTAATTATACTCTTTGAGCATTTCTTTTAACATTCATAATATTATTTCCTATAACGCAAGTCAATCTGCTTTCAAAATTTATCATGTAAATCATGCATATAATACGTAAACGATGTTGTGGAATCAGAATACAAATCTAGAGATGAAGGGACAACATTTATGGGTTTTCTATAATTTATTCCTTGAATAATGTCAAATGTTATCATGACTTTGGCCAAGACCTCATATGGTTTAGTTGAAGGTCTAGCTTGGTAAGTATGTGTTGATAAAGACCGCAAATGACATCATCAAACTCAGTGGCAAGCTAACTCTTAATAATCATCTTAACAACTACTTGAAGCGGGGGCCACTAAAATAGTATGAACTCTATAAGAAGAGTCTAGCACAAAGAAAGTTCCATGATGATGAGCCCAACGGAGTGGTCACCCTACAATTGTAAATCAAACAATACCTCCATATTTGGTTGACCCATCGAGAATTTGCTAATAAGTGAGAGGTCAAGGGGCCTAACAAGTGCATAAATCTCCTCATCAAAAAAGACTATGGCAGGCAAGGCTTGAAAGGAAGAAGGGTGTTTATGTTGTAGACTTTTTGAATTCTATTCAAATAAAAGTGAAGATTTGTTGGATGAAGAGTGGAGAGGGCATACAACATTCGACCATGAACAACATTTACAAATGATCACGATAGTTGTGGAGAAGGCACAACCACTGAGAAGCATACGAGGAAGAGCCTCAGAAGAATCAAGGATCACCAAGGAAGGAAGTAGCGGCCACATCATGGGGTCAACCAAAGTCTTTGGAGATAATACTATAAGAGGAGGCAAAGAGATCCGAAGAGACTAATGAAATAGAGATCTCAGAAGATCCCCCATCAATGACTAGAGGAGAGAGAGAAACATGCACAAGATAAAGAGTAAGGACTACCACCTGCACGAAAGTGAAAAAGGATGACACATTACAGGCGCCCTAAAAATTGGAGGGATCAAATGAGGGTGAGACACAAACGCCATGAGGAGGTATTGGCATCAAAGACAACCTACAAACATGGCAAAAAACACTAGGACGAGCACCCGTAGTGAAAAAAGACAGATCCATAGATGTAACCACAGATCATGAAGGACATGCAAGGATGCTCGTGAGGATGCAAGGAGCTAGAGATGCCGCATAGATAGAGGTATAAAATGTTTGCGCAAGAAACTACCGTGCGGGATATTGGTTCGGCTAGATGCATGTCTACGGCACATCGACATTTTCATCTTGGTATATTTGGGCTTGGGATGAGGCAACTCAAGGTCATAATTAGACTCCTTAAACATTATGTGGATTACATCCCTTTTAATGTTGGTAAACTACAGCCATTGCCCGAAATAACAAAACTATGAGATTTTGATTAAGATCATCAACCATCCTCCTCCCAAAAAAAAATCTCCATTAATTCAATTAAGATCTAAAAATTAAATTATAAAAAAACTAAGTCTAAGCAGCCTTTTTAATCTAGGATGCTCTCCCATAAGCACAAGTAATTCATTATGGGAGATTGTGTACATAGGAAGTCTTGACCTTAAATCTAAATAAACTCTAGTCTAAAATCTAAATATCAAGGAATATATAATTAAAATACAATCAATCTACCTTAAGAAAAAATACTTATGTTTTCTCTCATCTTACATGATGAGGAGACTCCAGGGGGGGTTGACTTTTCCTATTGATCAATTTCCTCCAGCAACAATTAACAACATAGAATCAATTAAAAGACTGTTTGTTCTTAGCCACTCCCTCTTACATAGTTTTGCTGCTTAAAAGTAATGTGTCAATTGGCTTCTCAATGATATATGATTCAACATCAAATTCTAAGACAATCATGGTATTATTATTTCTTGTTCTACGAAAAATTTCCTAGATATAAATACTAAAAAAATGACTATTATGAATATGCGTATATAAAATTTCATTAGAACAACTTTTTTTGTTTTACATCATTTAAAACTCAGACCCTCAGATATGAGAGCAATTGTACCCTTGCAAATAAATGCATCAAATGAAAAAGAAACTTTTGACCACAATATGATAGAAGATCAGATGAAAATGCAGTTAAAGTAGCAGACAGCTACCTGAAATCTTCATCTGTCATGTACTTTTGCAATTCTGAAATAGCAGGGGAAATTAGCTCATCCTCAAGTGGTCGGTATCTACACACCTGCAAATTGTAGCCGTTAGGAGGTGACGAAATGCTGACTGAGCAAAAATTTAAACAACTTCTGATGCACCTGCAAATCAGGAAGAAATAAAGAATGATAACCAGTAAACGGTTAACATAGGGCACCTAACCATAGAGGTTAGCAGGAATTGCAAAAAAAAAAGCATCAAGCAAATGAATAGATATCATCTATTCCAAACTTGCCTGATAATTTTTGAAAGAGTGCTCCTGATATTCCCTTGGTTGCAAACAGAGTACAAATTCAATATCAAGCTTCTTCTTTATAAAATATCTTATCAGCTTTAATATGATTTATACAATCAAGTTCCATGGGATTATGCCCAATATTTATGATTGACTTGTTATCATATAGAGCCTCGTAAAACCTTTCCATTCAATATTTAAATCTTTTAGGATAATTTAAACTAATAGCAATTCACATATTCTCACTGCCATAAATTTAAAACTGGCTTTTATACTAGATCTTGCTACCAATATAGTTATTTACATCTCTCAATCACAAGGTTGCCTCCTAAGAATGTAAATATCCTGAAATTGACCTCCTGTCAACCATAATAGAACCCATACAATCTGCATCTTATATATGCTTCAAGGTCAAATCATCCTCTTTTTGAATGAAATTTCATTTCCCAAGGTTACAATCAAGTATTATAGAATTCTAAATCTATCCTAAAGTGTGATTTATTAAAATTGTATATGAATTGATTCACCACAGCAACAACGTAGGCAATGTTAGATCTAGTAAGTGATAAATTGAAGTCTTTCCACTAGTCTCGGATAGGATATGTTTGTTGGGATTAAACAAAGAATGAAACAAACAATAAAACAAAGTGCGGAGAAAGAACACCAGAATTTAATGTGGAAAAATCCAAATACTGGAAAAAACAATAAAGTCACACCACACCAAGAAGTCGACAATGAAAATGAGAGAAATTATATAAATCTTTCACGCTCACGCTCTCTTTTTCACTTCACACTCATGTCCACCACCTTTAGACACAGATACAAGAGAGTTCAACCCTCTAATTAGTTAAATAAGTTAAAAACGAAGAGAAAACTAATTCAACCGACTCGTACCTCCGCGGTGCTAACTCTTCTATCTCAAAATGGGTCCATAGTGCCACAGTGCCGTGAACACAATACCTCCACGCTAAGCTCTTTGTCCTAAAGGGGATTCACAACGCCACGAAGAATTAAAGACAAGAAAACTTTTTTTTTTCCGAGGGGGTTTACTGCCAAACCCCCGAGCATAGATGCGTTGCCCCCCTACAACCTCAACAAGCTTCTCGTCGAGGTCAACCGACATAATTGAGTTCTGAGTTAATATTTTGCCTAAAGTCATCATATTTAATTATTTAACTATCATATTTTCATTGCCTAGTATTTTTTTTAATTTATCTTTTCATTGCCTTGTCACCATACTTTCATGTTTATTATCAATCCATTGTTATGATTTAAATTATTAAATATTTCACATATTTCCTATGATTATTTCTCACATTTGCTATCTCGCTAGGTGTTGGATCAACACTGAGTGGGTTAGAGGAGAGCTAAGAAGGAGAAAGCCATTAGGTATGGGGAGATGGTGGATAGGATTACTATCGAAATGAGAGCCAACAAGTAGGCTAGTGTCAATTGGCTGAACCCCAAAAGGTTTTTGGGAGTATGAAAAAAGTTTCATTCCACATTTTGCAATTTAGAAAGTGTTTGTCTGAAGATCTGATCTTATAGATAGAGGACTCTACCTATAACCTAGGGGTCTTCCTTACGCCTGGAGAGAGCATCACGACCTTTATTTTTCAACTTGAGCTTGTATAAGATCTCTAAATCATATCCCAACAACATGGAAAACCACCACTGATGCTCCTCTATCACCATCCTCTGCTTCAACAGGAACTTTAGACTCATCTGATCGGTCCTGACTATAAAGTGCCGCCCCGACAAGTAAGATCGCCACTTCTAAATTGTTAACACCATCAATTCACTTTCATATACTGATATCATTCTGCACCTAACAGTCAATACTTAGCTGAAATAAGCTATGAGCCTCTGTCCTAGCATGATAATTGATCCAAATGCATAGTCTGATGCATCAATCTCCACTACAAAAAGTTGGCTAAAATCTATTAGTGCTAACACAAGGACTAGTCATAGCTTTCTTCAGCTGCTTAAATATATGAATGGCTGCCTCCCCCCATTTAAAATTTTCCTTCAACTACTCTGTCAACGGCTAGGCTATATAGTTGAATCCCTTCTCAAACTTCCTATAATATCCTGTGAGTCCCAAGAACCCCCTTAGGAAACCCCCTTAACCCTTTTAGGGTTTTAGGCACTGGCCACTCCACCATTGCCTCTATCTTGGTTGGTTCCGTTGACACCTAGCTTGAAATATTATATGTCCCAACTCCCAAGTACTCTACCCTCTGCTGTGCAAAAGTGTGCACTTCTTCAAGTTGGAATATAGTTGGTGCTCCTTCAAAGTTCCCAACACCATTCCCAACTGCTCCAAATGCTTCTCCTCTGACTTGTTATAGATAAGGATGTCATCAAAGAATAACAGAGCAAATCTCCAAAGATAAGGCTTGAACACCTGAAAAGGGTGTTAGTGAGGCCACAAAGGCATCACCAAGAACTCATAATGTCCCTCATGAGTTCTGAAAGCCATCTTGTGGGTGTCCTCTGATCAGATTATGATATAGTGATACCCAAATTTCAAATCGATCTTTGAGAACATCAGCAAACCATGCAACTCATCCAGCAGCTCATCAATGACTAGTATGGGAAACTTGTCTGGTATAGTCTCCTTGTTCAAGGAACGATAATCTACACAAAATTTACAAGTGTCATCCTTCTTCACCAGCAACACAAGACTAGGACTCATATTGGGCTTCATCACCTCGGCTTCAAGCATCTCCTAAATCAACCTCTCAATCTCATCCTTCTGGACTAGTAGGTATCGGTATGGTCGGACACTAATGGGAGAGACTCCTTCCTTCAGAAAAATAGCATGCTCGTGCTCTAGTGGAGGAGGCAATCCTTGGGCAGGTTAGAATATCTCACTGAACTGCTGGAGAAGCGGCTAAACTATTTTTGGAATGTCCTCTATCTCCCAAGTGTCAACTCCCTCCAGGCTCTAAAACTCCACCAAGAATCTCACTCCTTCACCATGTATGGCACACACCATAGTTTTCAAGGAAACCATTATTTGCATAAACTACGGTCTCCCTTAATCACCACCTTTCTCCCCTCCACCTGGATCTCTATAGCTAAGGCCCAAGGTTTAAAATTGTGTAATTAAGCCTCGAGGCGATTTTCGTCTGTGAGGCGAGGCGTAAGCCTCATGGACACAGAATTGCGTAAATGAGAAATTAAGGGTTTTAGTAAGTAAATAATAGCAATATTCTATATTACAATAAAAACATCTAAATGATATATGAAAATAGTGGAAAGTAAGAAAATAGATGCAATAAAATCATGTCCCAAAGTACAAAATGACGTATTCGCCTTTTCTTTGCCTCTAACCATGTTTCTTAAAGCAAAAATCCAAAAACACACAAAAACAATCAAAAAAACATAAACCCTAGATTTTTTTACACTTGAAAAATCTAACCCTAAACAAAAAAAAAAACCTAAAATCAACTGTGGAGTACTCCTAAAGGGCGGCCGAACACTTCAACTTCGCCGGAGAGGGCGGCGCCGGCAGGAGAAGCAGCGGGAAGGGAAGCCGACAGGTGCGAGAGCTCTCTGTTTCGCGAACACAGTGTGCGGGAAGGAAATTTTCGGGAGAACTAGGAGCCGTGCGGGATTAAGGAAGAAAAAGTCTTTATTTTAAGTGGGTGGGTCCATTTCCATGAGGCGTACGCCTCTGAGGCGCGCCTCAGTCCAAGTGAGGCGTACGCCTCTGCCAGGAGAGGAATTGCGTAAGCCTCGAGGCGGTTTTGGGTCAAATTGCGCAGAGGCGCGCCTCTTATTGCGCAATTTTAAACAGAGCTAAGGCCTTCCAGTCTATACCCTGGTTTCCCGCAAGGTTTGTAGCCACTTCATACCCAAAATCAAATATGTATTTTCCAACTCCAGTGGATGAAAATTCTCCCTGATGTGAATCCCCTGCAACTCCAACACCAATCTTTGATAGATACCCCGACTCTTCTCCACCTTCCTTATGCCCATCATCAACCCAAAACATCATGTGTCTACCAGCTTTAGCCCCAGCTTGTCAACCACCAGATTGAATATGAAATTGTGGATAGCCCCACTATCCATCAAAATCTCTACGACTTCCCTCTTATCTATCCCCTCATCTTCATAGTGTGATTCGGGGTGAATCCCACAACATAATTCACTTAAACCTCCGTCACCTCCAAGTGTATGGGCTCCTCTTCCTCTACCATTTCTCTTGCCTCTACTCCGCCGATCTCTTACTCATCACAAACAAAAAGGACCAGCAAGGTGTGATTTTTACACCTATAGCCAGGTGTAAACTTCTCGTCGCATCTAAAACATAACCCCTTAGCCCATTTGTCATGCAGCTCCATATCAGTAAACCATTTAATGTTCCCTCCAGAGCTCCCAAACCTATCTCCTTTGGAGCTTCCCTTTGACTTGCATCCTAAGTGCAAGGAAGGTGATCGTTGTGCGATAAGAATCTCCAAAACTATCCCCTTTACTACTACTCTCAAATGAGTTATTGTTCTCTATCAATTAGGATAACTTCATAGCCTCTTCCAAGTCACAAAGTGATGTAGAACGAAGGGACATTAATTAGAGAGAAGGGGAGAGAGGGGGGCTGGCCATATGGGGAGGGAGAAGAAGTGTCCACATATGATGTATGTGGACCCAAGCAACAAATGTGATTATGGAATTAAATCTGATTTTAATTTCAGATTTGAGATATTTAGGTGGTTTCCTAAAAGAGATTTACTAATTAGGAAAATTAATTTAAATCAAATCCAATTAGAGATTTAATTAGATATAATTTAAGTAACTTTCATAAAATGGGGATTCTTATTTAGGAAACAAATTCAAATTCAAAATTGTTTGGATTTTGAATTAAATTTGTTACCAAATTAAGAAGAGGAAGGGCTTTGAATACAAGATGGGATTTGTGGAAATAATTTAAACTTCCTAAATCATTATTCTAAATTAGGAAAAGGATAATTAAATCAAATCTAATTTAAGATCAAATTAGATTTAATTTAGAAACTTTTCTAAGTTAGCTTAGTTAATTTTAGGAAAGTATTTGAAATTCAAATTTGAAATTCAAATAGATTTAATTCTTTCCCCAAATTAGGTAGGTTAATTTTGGTAGGTATTAATGATGATTGAAATCATCATTAAGAGGAAAATGATGGGGATGGCCGACGGCTAAGAGGATGGGAGGAGATGGGGTGGCCGGTTAGGAAGAGAGAAGGGGAAGGTGGTGGCCGAGAGTTGGAATAAGAGGAGAATAGAGAAGGAGATAGGGAAAGAAGATAAACTGTGAGCCCGGACACATCATGCAGCTCACGGGTGATGCGATGCCCTCACCTAGAGACTTAAACCACGAGCCCGAACACATCCTCCGGCTGGTGGGTATTTCATTGACCTCACATAGGGACTTCCACTCTCCTAAGAACTCCCATAGCTCTCAAGAACAAAATTTAAAAATAATTTTTTTATTAATCCATCATTGTCTAATACAAGAGCATCTAGATATAGGTCTTAAAAAGAAACTAAAAGACAACTTTATCTCTTGGGCTTACATAAGACAATACCCTTTAAGTAAGAGTAAAAACGAAAAATGCATAATTAAATAAAAATTATAAAACTAATAAACTAAGATAAAATGGAGGATCTCAGCCGTCGATCTTCGTCTCTTCCTTTGATTAACGTCCACCATCGGATGCCCGCATCATTCTCCCAGGGTGGAAAAGAGCTCGAATCCATCGAGTCCGCACCCCGGATAACCATGCTCTGATACCAAACTGATGTAAAACGAAGGGACAATAATTAGAGAGAAGGGGAGAGAGGGGGGTCGGTCATATGAGGAGGGAGAAGAAGTGTCCACATGCAATGTATGTTGACCCAAGCAATAAATGTGATTATGAAATTAAATCTGATTTTAATTTTAAATTTGAGAGATTTAGGGGGTTTCCTAAAAGAAATTTACTAATTAGGAAAATTAATTTAAATCATATCCAATTAGAGATTTAATTAGATATAATTCAAGTAACTTTCATAAAATATGGATTCTTATTTAGGAAACAAATCCAAATTCAAAATTGTTTGAATTTTGAATGCAAATTTGTTACCAAATTAAGAAGATGAAGGGCTTTGAATGAAAGATGGGATTTGTGGAAAGAATTTAAACTTCCTAAATCATGATTCTAAATAAGGAAAAATGTAATTAAATCAAATCTAATTTAAGATCAAATTAGAATTAATTTAGAAACTTTCCTAAGTTAGCTTAGTTAATTTTAGGAAAGTATTTGAATTTCAAATAGATTTAATTCTTTCCCCAAATTAGGTAGGCTAATTTTGATAGGTATTAATGATGATTGAAATCATCATTAAGAGTAAAATGATGGGGGTGGCTGGCAGTTAGGAGGATGGGAGGAGATGGGGTGGCCGACTAGGAAGAGAGAAGGGGAAGGTGGTGGCCGAGAGTTGGAATTAGGGGAGAAAAGAGAGGGAAGGAGATAGGGAAAGAAGATAAACCATGAGCCCAGACACATCCTGCAGCTGACGAGTAATGCGATGCCCTCACCTAGGGACTTCAACCATGAGCTCAGATACATCCTGCGGCTGGTGGGTATTTCATTGCCCTCACATAGGGACTTCCACTCTCCTAAGAACTCCCATAGCTCTCAAGAACAAAGTGTAGAAACAATTTTTTTATTAATCCATCATTGTCTAATACAAGAGCAAGGGCCTCTATATATAGGCCTTAAAAGAAACTAAAAAACAACTTTTCCCCTTAGGCTTACATAAGACAAGACTCTTAAATAAGGGTAAAAATGGAAAATGCATAATTAAATAAAAAAATATAATTAATAAACTAAGATAAAATGGAGGGATATCGGTCGTGGATCTTCGTCTCTTCCTTTGATTAATGTCCACCACTTGATGCCTGCATCACGAAGTCTTGCCACCCGCACAACGGCTCTCAACTCTGGTTTGCACCCCTTCATGAAATTGCTCTCTAACACCATCTCCGATAATCTCCCTAAACATCCCGACAAAAACTCAAATCTCTCTCAATACTCCAACATCGTTCCCACCTGTGTCAAAGCAAAGAATTGCTCATAATAGTCTCCCTCATGCTTGGTTTTAAAGCGCTCCAATAAATAGTCCTTGAACTCCTCCCACGAACAAATCGAGTACCTCATCTCTCTCTATTGGTACCATGACAGTGCCTTCCCCTTGAGACAGAGCCACCTCCATAAGCCTCTCCCCTTCCATCAACCCATTCAACCCAAAATATCTCTCCACTCTATAAGTCCACCCATGCACATCCCTTCAAACACCGGCATTTTCAGCTTCGTGACCTTCGGATCTCCCCCGCCCCAATTTTCCCTTCCGCCCCCCATGCCTCCCATGAAGCGAGCATTGGGGTCTCTCCACGGTTCCCTTTTCTCCCTTCTCCTTTCATATCCCGTCTTCCTTCAAATTCAACCCGTCTATTCTCTTCTTATCATTCCTTCCTACCTTCATATTCCCTATCTATCCCCCTTCTTGGTAGAGGCTCAAGGTGGGGTATTCCTTCTTCCTCTTCTAAAATTTTCACCTCTTCATCTTCCCTCGACAAGTTATTTTCTTGATTTTCCCTTGCTTTTGGCGAAGCTGCTTTAGTTTGAAACTCCAACATCCGCTTCATCATCTCATCTATATTCTAAAACCTTCCTTCCATGTCTGAAAAATCTCCATTCAATGATCCTACATCTGTTCACAGCTGCCCTACTTCCCCCATCAAATTTTCTTCCAATACCTCAACTCTTCTCCCAACCATGGATCCCAAAAATTTGCTCTGATACCAATTTGATATGATGTGGGGATCAAATCAGCACTCAAAATAGCCAGTAGAACAAAATCAGCACCAAAAAGCAAGAAAAACAGCCACCAACCAAGTAAAAATAGCAACGGTATATATGAACAACACTAACAAAGCTGAAACAAAAATCTTCGATCAAAATTCAAGAGAAATACAAGATACAATTGATTCATTGTTCGAGAGGTGAATCGGCTCCCCCCCCCCCCCCCCCCCCCCCCCCCACCCCCAGTTCCTAATAGCAACTAGGAATCCCCAATTACCCAAGAAAACTATGCTAGAAAATTATTCACATAATCCCTCCCACATACAAACTTTTCCCCTTAAAATCAGCCCTAATCCTATCATAAATGCACCTCACATTTCCTTCAATAATCCCTTAAACTTTTTCCTCCCATAGGTCTGAAATGAGGTGTTGAGACCCACAAAACAGGAGCCTTTTGGCTCTTGGAATTCCACCAAGCTGCCACCTAGGGGGTGGGGTTCACAGCCGTATCAGGGATGTGGCACATATTGCTCGAGGCAAAACTCTTTGATCACAATTCATTCTAGTTAATATTGTTTAAAATGTTAAAACATGTTATATGCAAATCTTTGAACACAACTTTTATCCATATTACCTTTGATCTACCATTTTCATTCTTCATTATTCACATTTAATTCTAAAATAACATGATTATATCAACTTCCAATTTTTTAACAAATAACAAGAAATAGACAAGTGATCCACCAAGATTAAATGATTTTAAAATCGCTAAAAATATAATGCTTTGTCACAAAATCTACTGCAATCTAGAAGGAACCTTCTAGCTTCCAAAAAATAAGACGTAAGCTTAAGCCAATCTTCAAATAATCTGGTGAAATATGAATAGTTGAGAGATGAATTATGAAAATTGAGGCAGAGTTGAGTTCAATTTACTCATTTAAAATTCAATTATCATAAAGAACCTTATTCCATAGTGGGCTACACATATTCTTCGTTTTGAAACATTAAGATAAATACCAACCTAGACACTGGCGCCTGCCTAGCTCTACATCAAGACTGGTCCAAGACAACACGCCAAATAAATCTGCTGATGCAAAACCTACTCTTAAAAAATAGTTCACTTCAAAAGAACGATTAAATTGTATAGAACATCTAATCAACACAGAAAGTAATAAAACAAAATAAAAAAGAAAATAAATTGTACGCTTGAATCACACCTATGTTCACTAAATGATACTATAGATGGAGAATATATTCTTTGTTCACAAAGGTGATTTATCATAATTACGATGAAAAATATGTTTCAGGACTTACAGTGAGCTTTCTAGTATTTTTGCAGAAGTTCTTAATGAAGGCCCTTGAAATAGTATCAGGATCCCTACCAATTCTCTTCAATATGGTCCTTACACGATGCTCAATAGCAAGACAATCAGACTCAAACTTGGCTTGGTAAATCCTTTGTAGGCTGATGTAATATCTATCATTCACAAGAAAAACGCTTATTGTCGCAGCAGTAATAATTTAATGCAGCAAACAAATAAAACTCAGAGCTCCATATGACCAATTTAGAAACTGACTCCGTTAAGGATGTCATATCAGGTATTGATCCCTCAAGAGGTGGTTCTCCAGCACCTTCATTTTCAATGAATTCCTGAAAACAATTATATATGTCAGAGGAAAAAGAAGCAAAGGCAATGCCTGATTTTCAATTATAAGTCAGGGAAAACAATTGATACTGTCTTCGAGCAAACACATAAGATCAAATATAAATACACAACAAAAACATTAATATATATCTCAAATGACTACAAATACTTAGAAAAAGATACACCGCACCTTCAAAGCAGCGACTAGAATCCAGAAGTCTGGAGATGCTGAATTAACTTCAACAGCGTTATTGTCATTTATGATCTGACGCAGCTGAGAACCTGACATGCAAGAAAAGATATCACCAAGTATTTAGGAATCAATCACTTTACCAAGGGGAGTAACATTCATCTCTTCAAGATGATGAATGGAACTATAAGCCACAAACTAATTATTTGGTCCAGAAAAGTAATGAAGAATAGTCAACAAGAACAAGAGAATGAGAAAACTGAATTAGCATTTGCTGATCACAAGTTTCCCGGGTGTAGATCCACTGCAAATCATCAACTTGTAAAAGCTTAGACATTGTAACATTAAAGCTTCATTTGGGACGGCTTTTTTTCTTGCTTCTTACAACAGCTTTCAAGTACAAAAATTAAAACTTTTGTACTAGAAAGCTGCTTTAAGAAGCAGTAAGAAAGCCGTCCCAAACAAAGCCTGAATTAGCATTTGCTGATCACAAGTTTCCAGGGTATAGATCCACTGCAAATCCTCAACTTGTAAAAGCTTAGACATTGTAACATTAAGAGTGTTATCAGACTACTTAAAGTTTCTAGAGATGATGATTAGCCTTCTCTATTATTTTTTTCAGCCGGCCATCAACCTAATATGTAAAAGGATCAAGGCCGATTACATTTAATTAATTTAGAGAATTTGAACCCTTAAACTCTTCTTTGGAGAGCATAAACAAAAACAACTCAGTTGCTTAATTAGTGTTAGGGTATATTCCTTTATTAATTTCCTTTCAAGCCATGTCGAGTGCTAAGAGTACCAAATCAAGAATAGCCTGCTCAAACAACCCAAGAACCTCAGCTACTTTTGAAGGATCTGTTTGATAAACCCAACCCACATTCCTGATAACAAGCTGTAGTACTGCCGAGTTAAGCAAGGCTTATGAAATGTTTGCAATCATTAAGAACACCAAATTGGACAACAATGTATTGTAGAAGGATGCTATCATTACAAGGTTCATTACATATCTATAGCTATGATTAGTAGCTAAGTTTCAGAAGCGTCCATGCCTGTACTAGTTCCTCTTGCTCCAGGCTAATTTCCCATCATCTTACCAAAGGACATAACAAAGAATGGGCCTGTGCCACATCTGGGATAAACCAAGCTAGAATTATGACCAGGGTTTAATAAAAGCCAAAATGAGAAAACCAGCAGTATGATGCTTTCCATTATCATAACTTAATAAACTGTAACGACCAAAAAAGCTAAATGAAAAACCTTAAACTTCAAAAAGTAAGCCATCTTAAGTATCCAAGTTATAAAAAACTCAATAATTGCACAAATGCATCAAAAGAAGGGAGACCTTTTTCAGAAAATATAAAGGTGCTCACAAATTCTTGTTCATATTGCAGCAATACAAGCAGAATTCAATAGAAATGTAACTAACTAGCTTACTAATTCCGTGAGGTAGGGAAACTTTGTAGGATGATTCAATAGCTTCTTTGTAATTTTCTTCATCCATATTAATCATGTAACCTTTTATTAGATCCTGTTGTGGAGAAAACAAAACAAGGATTGACATGGCATTATAAGAGTTAAAACATGGATAAAAAGAATAAATGATTTTTAATTCTATACCTTAAACTCCTTTTTCTCTTGTCTAGTAGTTGGTAAACATCCACCATGGCCATCAGCCCATTTTTCAGCAACATGAATAAGGATAACTATGTAAGGTATATGCTTGTGTACAACAGGATCTGTCACATTTAGATCCATAGTTTTTGCAAACCTGTAGACAATCTAAAAGATCAAGGAGAACCTAACCAACTAATGAGATTCTGCAAATCAAACTTATGCAAAGCTTATTTAATTAAGCCACAAAAATCTACTTCACATGAGGGATTTTCTTACTCTAATAGTATAATTTAAAGCGCATTTAATGAGACACAATATATATATATATATATATATATATATATATATGCATACATAATTGCCTAATTGGGATAAGCTAATGATAATGATGTTATCAGTTGCTTCAAGGTACTTCCTGCTTACTCTTTTAACTCAGGCCATGGATTGTGCAGTCTCAGATCATCCACAAAATGTTCAGGTTTTGACTCAACAACATCATGCTCCTATGAATAGCAAATATGTGAAATTAGATTCTACTTGCTATCTACTAACTAGATGAACAGTAAAATCTATCACAGAAAGTTTCATTTCTTTGATGTGCATTTCCATACCTTCAAACAAATACGAACTAATCCAGTAAGTCCATACGAGCGTGCAACCAACAACATGACATTAGACTGTCTACAAATCTTATCCAGCTTTAATAATGAAATTTCCAGTAACTGTCAAACCACAGGTTTGAGCTTAAAACTAGCAAATTTGGTTATTAAGTTATTGAAAAAAAAAACAAGACTTCTGAAAAAGTTAAAATCTGATTATTCAAAAAGAACCAGAGATCCAAATATCAGGAGAACATACTAGTTTCTCTACTTGATGCAGATAGGAATAAGAACCACAGTATGATGGAAACTATATTACATTTTTTCTTTAGTTTTTAAACACCAACATGGATGAGAGTGGAACCCATCACCTCACACTTTGTGAAGTTGGGACTTGGGACAATACCACTAGAGCCTGGGGAAAAACCTTTCTTGCTTCCTTCATCTACATGATAATACACCCAGAACACTACATAAGGTTTAAATGAATAAATACAACTCACATTTGGCATGACATAAATTTGCTTGAAACATTTTGCACAAATATGAAAATAAAAAATTGAATGTTCAACTTTAGTTGGCTCTAAAGAGTGAACATCAAAGTGTTCATAGTATAAAGTGTAAGCTTATTGATATGAACTGTAATGCTTAATGATGCTTTAAAGCATGGAAAGCTTAAGTTTTTCTTAAAATTTGATCGTTGAATTCAACTTAAATAAAATATTAAAAAAAAAAAAAAAAAAGCTTGATGCCTGCATCTATCCTCAAATACCCCATCTAAAACTTAAACCTTCATAGCATTTTCATACCATCTTCTCATTTTTCGTTTCTTGTCTATTAACTTACCCCATCTATAGTCTCTTTTCGCATCAACCTTATGCATTGCCACTTTTTTTTTTAACTTTTGGATAATTTACTCTATTCTCTTCCCCATTCACCCAAGTGCAACACCAATTTTTTTATTGGTATCCTCTATTTGAATAGTGAACCACGCTTATAATTTGATAGTTTTAATTCTAATTTAACATCATGTATTCTGCATTTATAACTTAAGTTCGTTTTAAGATTGCCATCTGGTACTTATTATAATAATAATACTTTAGGATAAATACATACTACATAACTTACTCCATGTTAATGTAATCAAGTTTTGAAGTATTAAATCAATAAGATTAACTGAAATGAAAAAAAAAACTTGTATTTGTTAAGTATGAAAGTTTCTTGCTTATAATATTTATTCATTCTATATCATCAGATGTCTGTTAATACTTTCTAAAAATATTAAACAAAAATGATAAATCTTATGCTTTGCGCTTGGAAGGGATCATACACTTTGCTTCACGCTTTTGCTTTTTAAAATATTGATCATGAAATAGTACCAGGCAAGATGGATTACAAAAGAGGTGTAAGGATTGCTAGCATGCAAGGCCATGAAAAATAGGACATGCCGACATGGCGTGCAGCCGTGCTAAAACGAATAAAATCAATTAAAAAAAATAAAAAGAAACGGAAATGTTAAAAAAGAAAATCAAATTCAACATGAAGACAATGGAAGAAACTACACAGCATACCTGGGTCGCTATTACTAGAGTAAACGGAGAAAAGAACGAAGGATTTCTTTCTATCAGAGCTTCAGGAGACTCCTCAACAAATTTAGCTTTAACAGCATCATTCAACTCCTGCAGAAAGGCGCATACACACTTTGCTTTTGACTGCCCGAGGCTTGCTTCATCCACTTAATAATGTAAGAAAGCATCAATAAATGAATTCCAGATATAAATAAGATCACATAATTTAGAAGAAAAACATACACAAGAAATTATTTCCAAGATCATGTTTTTCCACTTTGGTGCCATCAACAACAGTGATACTGCCAACGCCACCAAGAACAAGATTCTTCAATGCCTCCGATCCAGTAGGGCCACAGTTAAGAAGGCATATGCTGGCTTTTTCTAGCGCTGTTTGCCCTTGGTCACCCCAAATCCTGCAATATGCATACCATGTGATACTGGAACAAACAAAACAAGCAACAAGATGTATCAACCATTCTACACTTATTTCGCGGAAGAAAGTTCAGTGTAAATGATGGATTTCCAGGACGCTAAAGAGAGCAGGACTAAACAGAAAGAACCGTCCCAGCGAACGGTAATAAAAAACCTCTTAAGACTCGCAATTCAAAAAGAATCCTTCAAAAACCACGTAATAGTCAAAATTACAGGAAACAAAGCAGAAAAAAGGTCAAGATGAGAATGCCAACAGATTGGGACGAAAGATACAACTTTGCAGATGTAAATGATACCTAAGCTGGCGATCATATTTGGTCTTCGATTCCGCAGCCATAACAGAGACAGGAGAGCTCCTGGTTTGTCTCCACGAGCTGAGACCCTTTCTGGTTTGGGGTTTTGAACAGAGGAAGAGGAAAGGTGCATTGCCTTTCGACCTGGGTCGACCCGTACGGGCCGGGCCAAATTATAGTAAAAGCGGGCCGGGCCAGTTTTGACAATGATGATTGGTGCTAAATGGAAGAAAACAGATCTAGAGGAAGAAATTAGGATGATTTTTAAGAGATCATTGGTGCTAACAACGATGATAGCTAGCAAAAGTGGTTGAACAATAATGGGTGTCAATTTAATTGATGACAAGTGATTGCTCTAGTAATTACATATATTAGGGTTGCAAGCGAATTAAGCGTTTGACGAGTTGCTCGAGGCTCGGCTCAATACGAGCTCATTCTTGATCGTTTAATTAGTTAGTTGAATAAGTTTGAACACTTTCGTAAATACTTGATGCGTTAATAAACAAGCTTAAACAACAATGCATCTTGCTCGATTATGTTTGTGAATAAGATCGTTTAAAGCTCATGAACATGCTCGATGCGAAGCTCAATAAGAAGCTCGTAAACACACTCGATATGAAGCTCGTTAAAGAACCAAATTAATGTTTGATAATTGACATCAAGATCGATTAATTCTGATATTATAATAATATATATTTAATAAATAAATTATTATTATATATTAATTGGTATTAATCGATTAATTCTCATTAATATTATTACTTGTCTTTTAATTACTAATAAAAAATATTTAATTAATTATTAATACCATTTTTTTATTTGAGCCTACGCACGGACTTATGCCGCTTCATGCACAAACAAAGTCTCGCTTCTCGGTTCTTGCTCTTAGTTTCCATAATCCTATTTGCTCTTAGGCCGCTCCAAAACCCTCCTCGTGCTCGAAACCCTTCCTCTTTCCCTACGTCGTTCGTCCCTGAAGTCATTCGTGTCAGATCTCAACAGACATACATATTCGTGACATTTGTCTTCATCATTTTCTCTCCTACCCCGCTTAAATCCTCCAAATCATTTGGCAGCCATCTTGCAATTTTATTCAATATATATATATATTGCATTTGTTTCCTTTTTTTTTTGTGGTTCCTCTCTTCAAATGTAAATATGGCTCATGTCCAACTTCCGATCTTTCTTCTCGACCTTGAAACCCTTGAACACATCTCGCAGTTTGTTTTCTTCTTTTGTTTTTTCTTTCTTTTTTTTTTCCGCTGGTTCCCATGGACTTTCGTCCGATTGTATTGAAATCGGAAAAGGGATTATAAGAGAATGTATTATGATTATGTAATAGTGTTTGGTAATGTGTAGTTGCACTCATTGTAATGTTATTTTGTAATGATATTTGGTTAATAACTAAAAGTAATTTCTTTGAAAGATAAGTCACAAAATAAGCTTCCTTGAGGTGTTTAACCAAGCAACTGAATTAATTTCAGGTTCGCAATGAAAACTTTCATATCCATTTGCTTCTTACCATAAGATTATTTTAATAAGCTTCTATGTTTGTGTAGGTTCTGAGTATCCTACATCTAACTTTTTATGTTCGAGTTTTGGAGAATAAAGAAGATGTTAGACAATACTTGTCTAGGTGGACATTCATACATTAGAGAGATGGCCAGGAAAATGAAACATAAGTTTGACAAGTATAGGGGCGATGGTAATCTATTAATCTTACTAGGCATGATAATGAACCCCAGAAATAAAATGAAGATGATACACTTCTCTTTCAATTTAATGTACACTGAGGATATATTGCAAATGCACATAAATGATGTGCGTAAGAGTTTGCATGAGCTTTATAATGAATATGTTGAAGAATACAAAAACACTAATAATAAGAAGGTATTATCATCTGAGGTGGAATCAAATAGTAACCTCCATATATCTTCTATCACCAAAAAAAAGCTAGTAATGTAAGCTTTGCTTTTATAAGCACTTTAAGGTTTTCTATCCAATGGGCCTATTACTTATTTTGTGTATTGTGTTTTGTAGTGTAAAGAGGAAACAAATATCTCCTTGGTTTGAAGAATGTTCACACATTATTTTTGTGCATCTTTTGGTGATTGTAATACATTATTCCCATAAATTTTCAGACCAAATCCTCTTGAATGGTCAATTTAGGCAACCAGCGGAGTCATACCCCCTTTCTCTGAACCTCACAAATTGAAAAAAGAAAAATCTTTCTATTTTGAGTCCAAGCATTAGATTCAATTTATTTGTTTTGCAAATATGAAGCTTCTTTTTTTATCATATTTCGCAAATTCAGGTAATGTTATTCATATGCTTCTATAGTGGCTGAGTTTGGACTTTGAAGCAGTCTTGCTATTTATGTGTTGATGCTTTTGCTGCTGATAAAGAATAAAATTGGAGTTACACTGCAACACAGTTACCATATAATCAAATGAGTTATCTTATAGGACATCAATGAATTTGAAGAATATTGATAACTTTTTGAAATCTATGTAAGGAAATATGCCTTCTATTCTCTCTCAAAATTATATATTTTTTGTATTATATTAATTTTATTAGAAATTGTTATCTTTTTTCTATTTTGAAATGTACACTCTTTTTTTTTTTTTCTTTATGGATTTATTTTAAATTTATGTTTCATGGTTATCTACATTATATTAATTTTACCAAAGTAAGATTGTTTATGTTTGTTTCTAGAGTTCATTAAGAAGCTCGTTCATTAAAAGTATCATTTATGAGCTTAATAAGTTCGTTCGTTAATAGCTCGATAAGCTTACTTGTTAAGGATCGTTCGTTAAGAGCTTGATTAGGCTCATTTAGTTATTTTTAAAGGACCTGCTCGTTTAGAGCTCGATGAATGCTAAACCAACCGAACATAAGCAAACAATGAACCAAGTTTGAATATGTATGATTTAAGAGAATTGAACTTGAACACAAACAAATAGCTCGAATCGAGCTTGAACAAGCACTTATCAAATGAACATGATCACATAGATACTCTGCTTGGTTTTGTTTGTTTGCAACCCTAACATACATCAACATCAATTGCAAAAAGTGATGGCTACTCAAAGACAACTTTTGAACGATATGATTAGACGATGGTGGTCAAACTACAATGATTATTGGTTGCAATCGTTGATGCCAATTGGCACACAAGCAATAAGATTCTTCAAATATATGTGCACTCTCCAACTTCTTCAAATGACTCAGAATAACTTCCCTTGATCCCTTGATGATTTTAAGTATTTGACATCCTAACAACATCGTAATTGGCTAATATAGAGCTCGTTAAAATTGTTTGATCAAGAAACATATAGACTAATCATTTATTGAAATTAGAGTTCTAATAATTCCAAAATTATTTGTAAAAAATTTTAATTCAAATATATATGTCAAGATGCAAATTTAATGTAACAATTTTTTTTTTATTGATGCACCACCTCTGGAGTAACTAAAAGAATAAAAAGTTATATAAATAAATCAGAAAAAAATTCTATTTATATAAACTTATTTCACAATATATATTCCTTGTTAGGACTTTTATTTTTCATATTAGATATTTAATTGTAATTTTTAAAGCAAATTAACTCATTTGAGTAAAATTAATTCAAATTCAATTTTTCATAAAAATTATGAGCTGATCTTAACTATATAAAAAAATAAATCAGTGATGTCGCAAATGGGCAAAATTCCTATAAAATTTTTCTTTCGAGATTTCTATGAGAAATGTATATACATAATTGATTTGCGTGAAAATAAACGCTTTGCAAAATAATGTATGTTGCGTCAATTTTAATATCTATTTATTAATAAGAAATTTTATCCCCCATTCACTGATTTTCGATGTAGTTGGAAATCACTCAAATCAGAAAAATTTCAAATACACTAAATTTGAATTAGAGACTAAATTACTTTCACTTCAAAATTCTACTATGCAATCCTTCTACTTCAAATCAAATATCAATATTTTTCAAAACCTCTACATTCAAAATATTTTACAACCCTTACACATCAAATCAAACAACCTTTAAATCCAAACCATAGTAAATCACAGTGAAAACTAATGGTAGTAAGAGCTAAATAGAACATTGATTAAGCTAAACAAGCCAATAGAGGAAGTTGTCTTGTATATGCTCTTTCAATAGCTAAACCAAAATAATAAAAATAAGAATCTTTGCATATCTAATCAAAGTCACTGACAAATGATAATAGTATGAAAATCACACTTTGGTTTGGCTCACGACTTGAGAGATGATCATGAAGCATATAATGAGTGATATCACCTAAAAGAAGAAAAGAAAATACGGTTAAGTTGTTCTTATTCACAGTATCAAGTGGAGGCGAAAAACATTGGAAATGACTAACTACACAGAAACACAAAGAAGCTCATTTACAATCAATCCAAAGTCCTAAGCATCATAATTAGGGGTGTCAATTTTTGACATGACCCGAAACATGACCCGAACCGACCCGGAAAAAATCCTGGTTTAGCTCGACCCGGTTAGCAAATGGGTCGGGTTCGGGTTTGAAAATCTGACACGATTTGAGTTACGGGTCGGGTTCAGGTTGACCCGGAAACCCAATAATGAACCGGAAATGACCCGGAAAATCCGTGTCGGGTCGAGTTGACCCGAACCCGAAGCGGGTCGGGTTCGGGTTGACCCGAACAGTGCCGGGTCAGTTCCGGATTCGACCCGAACACGACCTGTGACCCGAAATTGACACCCCTAATCATATTAATAGAAAATGAGCCTCAAATGATTAAATTGTCTCTATTGTAGCTTAGAAATCATTGTTTCTAATCACAAAAAAGGGCCTCTCTATAACTCGATGCAGCTGAACACACTAAGGAATTGGCATTAATGATAAGCCTAAAATATATAATATATGAAAGTGGGCTTTATGTCATCAATAAGTTAACATAGTCAACAAATACTTCAATATTTCTTTGCCTCTCAGAGTCTTCTTGATGCATTTAAGTATGCAAACATAGAGTGATGAATGATACAATTTTAAAGAAAACTTTTCAAAAACTTTATAGAATTTTTCAAACCAAGTATGTGGACTTTACTTTAGCCTACAAATAGACATTATAACTAGGTGTGTGTATTTCTCTCACTATTTTACCTTTGAGGTTTGACCGTAT